CGGCAGTACTACAAACATTTGCCTCATTTCCTATTATGCGAAGCACGTGATTTGAATTTAAATGTAAACTTGAGACAGTTTATTCCTCCCAACGCTGATTAATAAACGAGGGAAGAAAAACACGCACACGCCGATGCACTTATATATATGTATGTGTATATATATGTATACACACATATATATATATATATATATATATATGTGTGTGTACATATATATATATATATATATATATATATATACATATGTACACATATGTACACATATGTACACATATATATACATATATACATATGTACACACACACATATATATACATATATAAATATATACATATGCATAAGTTTTACATGCGTGTATCCAAGTTCTATATACATATAAAAGTTTTAACTAGTTTTATATCAAATAATCAATCATATGATATCAATATATCAATATAGTTGAATTTCTGATACGTATATTTAAATAGCCAAATAATTAAATCCTGTTTTAATATAAACACTATATAATTATTATGTATCTCTATAGCAATTAAGTGAAAGTTATAAATATACCCAGTTTTTATGCTATGTTATTCTATGTTGTAAATGAATTGTATGTATTTGTATACGTTTTGGAAAAAATAAATTTTTAGACTTATGTGTATGATCGTATCCACTGTTAACTGGTTGAGTTTTGTGATTCATGTAAGTATGAGGTTAGAATGCACAGCACTGCATTACCATCGTACCTTATAAATTTAAAAGAGGAGTTTTTAAATATTCTTTGCTGACGTCGTTAAACAAAAACAACGCAACCGGCGGCCTCACTGAGTAAAGCTATTTGAGATCTTTTTACCAAGAGAACTTCACTTTTAAGCATTCCAGAAACAAAAATTAGTCTGCATCAATAAAATAGAATCAGTGATGGAATAAGACGCGGAGAATTCAGTTGTGCCGACATAAAGCATGCAGTCCTTTCATGAGACGCCTACCTACCGCCAGACAACTTCATTCCACATTCAAGCAGACTCGCATAAATTTCACTTTCAGTTCTGCTGATGAAACTTAATTAACCCTCGAACAAAAGATTCAGCAGCTTTCATTTTTTTCTTCTAATGCTTTTCGTTTGGTCAAATGATTAACGTTTTAAGTGGAAGGAAGTATTTTATGGTTTTATGAATTACGTACTAATTAATTAATTTATTTATAACGTAAAAAAATTTGTAACTTTAAACATTACTTCGTAACAGAAAATCCCGTTTCACAATTATTACACCAATCATAAAGTTAGAGCTGTCACATTTTAACAAATAAAATCTCGCAAAATAAGTAAGCAAATATTTTAAAAATAAATTAAATAAATCAAATTTTAAAAAATTAATAAGGGTCCGTCCGTTGGAGATATTCTTGATTTCTTTTCAAATTAGCTTCGTTCATTTGATAAAACGGAAAATACAATACATGAAACAGATTTAAAAATTTTCGAGAAAAAAAATATAAAAGTAGAAAAAAAACCGTAAAAAAATATGAGACTACAACATCTTAAAAAGTTCCAAACGAACATACCGAAAACAAGAAGTTGAAAAAAAAATAGCGAAAAAAGCTTCATGTGAGTCATTTCAGCGTCACCCGCCGCGCTCCAGCTGCATAAAGAAACATTAAAGAGAGGGACTTAGTGGAGTTTGCAACGGCGATCACGCGTCGAATATTATTTATACCACTAGTCTCTTCTTATCTCCGAGACGTAATCGTCTCGATAAATATTCATTTCGGCGGAGAGCCGTGCAGATGGCTTGTTTTTTATCTGCCGGGTAATTATCCTACAGTTGGAGGTTTTTCCTTTCTCGTGTGTCCGTTTCGGTTTTGTTGTGGTTTTTTTTATATACCTGCTTGTTTTTACTGCTTTAGTGAATGTTTGCTAGATTGGGAATATGACTTCTCACACATGTGTTTGTGTGTGTATGTGTGTGTGCGTGTGTGTGTGTGTGTGCGTGCTTTTTACGATTAAGTATGTAAGTGTCTGTCTGAGAGCTTGCATGAATACTTCATGTAAATCAATCAGTAATTAAATCTATTATGAAGATAAATAATAAATAATATGAGCCGGTGCACATGTACGTGATCAGCTATACTTGGCTACACATAATATATAGCCGTGAACGTGTGAACTTGTAAGTGTGAATGTATGTGTGTTTATGCCTGTCCGTATGTGTGTTTATGTCTGCATGTATGTCCATTTAGGTCTACGACTGCGAGTATGTGTGTTTTTGTAGACTGTGCGTGCATTCGTGTGTGTGCGTGTGTGTGTGGTGTGTGTTTGTGTGTGTGTGCATGTTTATGTATGTGTGTGTGTGTGTGTGTGTGTGTGTGTGTTGTGTGTGTGTGTGTGTGTGTGTGTGTGTGTGTGTGTCTGAATGAGTTGGCAGAATAATGTCGTTAAGATTTATCGCTTTGTGTTCATATCACTGTTGCGTTTGTTTGTGTTGTTTGTTCGTTCGTTCGTTCGTTTGTTTATTTGTTTGTTTATTCGTTTGTTTGTTTTTTTGTTTGTTAACTTATTTATTTGTTTCTGGTCTATCATGCCTTGTAATGGTTTTTGTTTATTGTTAAAATTTTTCTGTAAAGATTTTTGTTAGTTCCGACGAGGTTTTGTATGTTAGTTACATTGACACCTTCCTCTGGGCGGCGGTCTGTTGAATAACCTGAATAACTTCGCTCTTTTTTTTTTCTCTCCTTGCTTTGTAGGATCGTTTATTTTTTATTTGTTTTTTTTGTTTACCCTATCATACCCAATTTAGATGAGCATAAATACTAACACACACATACATATAGACACCCTCCGAACCACACACACACACACACACACACACACACACACACACACACACACACATATATATATATATATATATATATATATATATATATATATACATATATGAAAATCACAGTTTGTTCCTCGTTAGTTAGCTTCTTGTTTAATTTTTCGATTTTTCTAACAGTACATCGTAAATAATTGTCAAGTTTCTTGAATTCCAAACCAGAATTTTCATATATTTTAAGCATGATAGTTTTATATCCATTATTTGTGAGTAATTTAGTTGCTATAACTAGTTCTGTTTTCCTGCTTGCTTCCAACATCAGAAGTGTTCGTATAAGCTCGGTTTACAAAAGCGGAGATCGTTCTATCTAGATATGTTTGACAACATTCACTGCTTCCATTAAAACATGAACATTTGATTGTTGCTTTGGTGTATACTGAGGTTTTAAATTCATCATGAGCATTTTGTATTATTAAGTCTAAGAGTGCTAGTTTATTGTCAGATGTTTTTTCAATTGTAAACTTTAATTTTGATGAATTTAGTCGTTGTAGAAGTTTTTCTATTTGATCATTTTTATTGCATGTAACAAACATATCATCAACGCATTGGCAGTATATATTAGGTTTTAGCTCTGTTTCTTCTTTAAATAACATTTCTTCGATATGTCCAAGGTATAAGTTTGCGAAGAGTACTCCCAATGGAGAGCCAGCCCATGGCTAGGCCGTCTTCTTGCTGATATGATGTGTTAGCCGCGCTAATGAATTAAAAAAAAAAAAATTTTGTATTTGAACTCGAGAAACTGGACAATGATTTACGATCCATCGTTACCGTTAGAAAAATCGAAAAATTAAGCAGGAAGCTAACTAACTCGGAACATGCTGTGGTTTTCATCAATAACTGATTTTCTGACAGTTTTAATCTTATAATAAATTATTATTATTATTATCATTATTAATATTAATATTGTTATTATTATTATTATTATTATTATTATTATTATTATTATTATTATTATTATAAAACATGGCACGACAATTGACAAAACAAACGATAAAATTGATTAGCTAATGATAAAAATTTAACTATAAATATTTTATAATTTTATACATATTATAATTATATATATATATTTATTTATTTATTTTTGTATAAACATTTATATATACAGTATAGTATCTACATATATGTGTGTAGTTGTATACAATATAATGCACAAAGCTGGAAGAAGAAACAACAAACAAAAACCTCAAGTAATTTACGACTATCACGTGATCAATTTAGAAATATACAAACATAAAAAAATACAAAACAACGAACGTACAAACATGCTAATATATATACGTGTATATATGTGTGTGTGGTTGTGGCGTGTGTAAGTATCTGTGTATGTATACATATACACATGTGTTTATTATTAGTAATATCAGAACGCCTTTTTATAGATGAACATTTCTCTGGAGCGCTCTCACAAGCTCATTACACAATGTTAATGAAAACAGAAAATTGAAATAAAAATCTATGTCGTTTTTATCAACAAAATGAATCAATCAAATAGTATTCCTAATTTTTTATCTCGGCTTGGTTGTTGCTTGTCGACCAGGCGAGTCAATCAGTCTTGCTGACTGTCCAATCTCTGACCCTTCATACTCGAGCCACGAGTTGTCGCAAGTTATAACATCCCATATTCGGCATTTACGCACAGACGAAAAGAAGTCGATGGACGCGCATCATCTGGCCTGTCCTCGTTCACCCTCTTTTTGAAAGCAGGGTAACACGATAAAGCTTCAACATTGATTGACTTGAGGTAACCGAGCACAACTTTGGCGACTTTTGCGACGTGAAATATTCTTTTACGAACGAAGACCTTCCTCGCTAAAATTCTTTTCCACCAGAAGGTTTTGAACCAACATTTACTTTAGAAGACGTTTTCAATGCAGCTGACGCAGCATTTCATAAACTTTTTTTATTTTCAACCAAAAATAAAATCTCAATTGTTAGCAACTGCATTTGATTTTTTTGATACATTATATTTAAATATATTTATATTTAAGCGCATATACCCATGGTTATAGGTATACATGATATATATGTGTCAACCCATACAAATGCTTGATAACCGTACGAAAAATGCAGTATCTATAGATAGATACAGATAGGGGCGATATATATCAATGAGAAAGTTTTAATTTAAAGTTTGTCAGTACACCGCCGATGTTGTATCTGCGTATTTACGAGGTATGCTCTGCCCGTCTGAATTGAAGCAATCGCAATAATGGATGCTGTCGTGTGGTGTGGTGTGGTGTAATAGAAATATGGCATGTTGTAGTAATGTGTGGTGTGGTAGTAGTGTGTGTTGAAGCAGTTGTTGTAATTTATTTTCTGTAGTGATGTACTTAAGAATCTTTGTTATTTAACTTTTTTATATAGCAAATAATGTGAAGATTTGTAATAATATGCTTTAATGTATGTTCGTGTGTGTGAATTTGTATATTATGTGTGTGTTTGTGTTTGTGTGTATGTCTGTGTGTTTGTGCGTGTGAGTACAATACTTATTCTTCAGTATGCCGTGTCTTATTAACAATGTAAAATGGAAGAGCTTATCACTTTTATTAGGCTGTCTCCTCTCAGCTACTAACACTTTTCTGGCTAATGTGTCCGAAACGTGCATATCTAGGCTGTTGGTTGTGTACGTGATTGTTGCGTGTGTGTTGATTGTATACCTTGGTTAAGTATGAAAGATAATTAGTCAATATTACTATGGCGTAAATATTCTTCACTTCATTTGGAATAACGTTATTTCTATATTTCGAAAGTTATCACACAGGCGATAACTTTAGCAATGACTGTTTAAGTTTTTGAAGAGAAAAAATTTACCACAAGCAATAATATGAAGTATCAGCAGGACAACTTTTTTATCAGGATTGCATTTCATAATCCAGTTTCAGTATTAGTAACAATTGTTTTATCAGTAGTAGTAGTAGTCGTAGCAGTAGTAGTAGTAGTAGTTGTTGTTGTTGTTGTAGCAGTAGTAGTAATAGTAGTAGTAGTATTAGTAGCAGTAGTAGCAGCAGCAGCAGTTGTAGTAGTAGTAGTAGTAGCAGCAGCAGTAGTAGTAGTAGTAGCAGTAGTAGTAGTAGTAGAGTAATAGTAGTAGTAGTAAAAGTCAAAGTAATAAAAATAACAGCATCTGGTGTTTGGCTAGTAGCTATACAAGCAACATTATCTGGAGTGGCAAAGGTGGCCGCAACGGTAGCAGCGTAGCAGTTGTAGTAGTAGTAGTAGTAGTAGTAGTAGTAGTAGTAGTAGTAGTAGTAGCAGTAGTAGTAGTAAGAGTAACAGTAGTTATATTTTTGTAATGTAGACGAAGTTAAGGTAGGGAGTGTTTGATTTTCAACTTGCCATTAAATAACATTTCATGTGCTTGGTTGGTTGGGTGAATTGATCAAATTATTTCTTCAAAAATAATCTTCCTGACTTCATAACACAATTTTGTTTGCATTGTTTCGTTACGGATTACACTTTCGTTGCAAAAAAAAAATTTTTAATTTATAGCAGTAGACATTTTATTTTAAAGGATTAAAGTTGAAGATAAGTAATGTTCGATGCTATTACGGACATGTCAAATTAGCATTACTCAGAATATCATCCTCTGATTTAAATTTAAGTTTCGTAATCATCATAAATATTATCATCGTCATCACCATCATTAATTATACCATTAATATTACATACCATTTTCATCATCTTAAATAATATCATTTATATCACTATTACAAACTATATTAATATCCTCATCGTCAACATCACTACCATCATCACCATCGTCAACATCACTACCATCATCACCATCGTCAACATCACTACCATCATCACCATCGTCATCATCGTCGTCGTTTCCATGGAAAGCCTGGTTGCCCAGAAACGCAATTTATTTACGTTAGCAACGGTATCGAGGCTCGTCTGGGCACTCATTAACTCAGTTAACATCAATCAAAAACCGCTGGTCTCCACAATTCTTTTCCCATATTATTAATTTAGTCGCATCCGCGCTTAGACCGTCTAAGTCTAAGTGCAACTGTTGTAGTTGTTGACATTGAACGCATGTGTAACCCTTGAAAATTTTTGTAATGATAATGTAGTACGCACGGTAATACAGTTCGTAAGCGATGGCGCAGCTGTAAGGTGCTTGTTCTCTCTCTTTCTCGTGTAGATGTTTCCGGGTTAAAATGCAAAGTGATCCTTGTCTATCCGAGGTGAACAGGTAGGATGTATTGTCTTCTTGCATATCCAGTCAGCGTGTAAATTCGAATCTGCGGTATGTAACTGGCACCTTAATAATAATACTAATAACAATTATTATTATTATTGTTGTTGTTGTTGTTGTTATTATTATTATTATTAATTTGCATTGTTATAAATATCATATTAATGTTAGCGTAATCTAGATCAGATGACGTCATATTAGACGAAGTAATGAGAATAGCCTAATTTATTGGAAGTAATTTGGTACGTCATCAACCATTCGTTCGTTCGTTCTTTAATGCGCTACTGTTTATCATACGATATAAACTTTCATGATGAACTTGGATAATTCTATTTTCAAAAAATTGGACAATTTTCAAAAAATTCTAGTAAAGAAAATTGAAAAGACAAACTTTAAATTGATTACTGCCAACAATTCAGTAGAATTCAATACTGTCTATTATACGATAACCAACGGTAACAAAACTAACATTAACGATTATTACGCTATAGGAATAATGATTTTTTATCACTATTGCGAGTTTATATAAATAACTTCAATAATAATTGTTGTATAAATAACTCTAAAACTTTACACACAATTATAAAAACACACAAACACACACCCGCTAACGTTAAAATATAGGTTTCAGGAATATTAGCGGTGCTAATAAAACTATGGATAGTAGTAGTAACTAGCAAGTATTAGTAATAGTAAAAATAGTAGTAGTGGCACAGTAGCTGCAGTAGTAGTAGTAGTAGTAGTAGCAGAATAGTACCTAAGCAGGTTGTGATATTGTTAATAATGTAATGTTGGGAAAAAATTTTCTTTCCAACGCAAATCACCATCATCTTCCATGGAAAAGTGCCAAACGACTTCTACCTCTCTCTTATTTTGGACGCCATTTTATTTTTATCAATATAGTGTAATTGTCTGTCTGTGTGTGTTGTGTGTGTGTTTTGTATTGTGTGTGTGCGTGTGTGTATTGTGCGCGTGTGCGTGTGTGTACGTTAATGTGATGTGTGTTTGTGTGTTTTTATAATTGTGTGTAAACTTTGTATGTGTGTTTGTGTTGTTTGATAAATAAATAATATTATCATCAAATAATATTATCATCAACAATAATTCCCTAAGTTGTAAATAATCCATTCAACACAGAAATCCTAACGGTCCTTCATTGTCGCCATCGTCGTCATCATCTTCAGTTAATGAGTTTGTGAGTAGCAGACTAGTTCCGTGGCCTGCCTTTGATTCCATTCGCAACCAGTATCTACATTTTGGTGGGTGATGATGATGATGACGTTGATGATGATGATGATTGTGATGGCGGTAATGATGATGATTATTTTTTTTAGTTTTTAAAAGCACGTGTTTAATAAAAACACCAGAACACAATCGGTCCCACTATTGTACTAGCCATCTAATGATGATGTTATTAAAATAATATTCTGTGGACAGATGCGATGATGGGTGATACTGAAATCTTCGTGTGATATCGTTCCGATCGAACCATATCTTTTAGTAAATATCATAACCACCAACATCTTGGCTGTAATCGCAATCATTTTAGCCATTATCATCTGTATTTTAATCATCGTCATAATCATCATCTCAATAATAACCCTCATCTCAATCATCATCACCACCACCATCCCCCACTACCACCTACCACCACCACCACCAGGCCACAAAACCGTCAAAGCTCGCCAGCACTACAAGAGCCACAAGATGGCACTCTGGCTGGAACTCATCCCCAAGATCCACAAAGCCGACACCTTCGACCCCTCCCTCCACTTTCTCGATCATGCTGGGAACGAGTCGACCTTCGAATCGTTCGGCACTCGCGCTATCGACGATAACGATTGCGGTGCAGAGCTGGCTGATGATGAGGAAGACGACAACGACTATGATGGCGCTGATGACGATGGATATAATGATAACAACGACGAAGGAGCTGTTTTAAATGATGATGACGACGACGACGATGGTGACGATGATGATGATGAGAGTGGTGGTGATGATGATGACGAAAACGGTGGAGATGGAAGCAGCAGGATGAACGGGAAGGATGGCGATGTTTATGTTGGTGGAGATAAGATTGATGTGGAAGTGCCGAGTGGTGAAAGAAAAGGTGCCAAACCAAATCAACCCAATTTCAAACAAGACAACATCTTCAGAGCGGCTGACGGCGATGATGATGATCACAATGATGGTGGTGGTGATGATGGCGGGCCTGGTGGAAATGATGATGATGATCACCATCGCCGTCGTGATGATGACAGCAATTTTAAGGAGACGATCAAAAGTTAGAAGTTCTTAAATCCAATTTGAATAATTCATTTAATTTTCAACTTTCAAATTGAATGAAACTCGCAAGAAATATTTTTATTGAAGTTTCAAGAAACAAAAATTTTTAATTAAAAGAAAATCATTTTCAAATTTTTTTCTATAAATAATAATTTAAAATCCTAATCCTGAGCCAGATTTAAGAATTTCACAAATAATTTTTTGTAAGTTCCAAAAATCTCCGAAAAATTCGCAAAACATGAAAATTTTTGGTCAGCAAAAATTGTTTTGTGAACTTTTGTCATGATCAAAACATTGTTTTGATGTAACACTAATTAATAATCATAATAATAATTAATCATCATTATCGTTGTTATTATCATTATTGTTGTTATTGTTGTCATTATTTTAATATTATTCAAACTATTAATGATAAAATTATTATTAGTAGTGTATTGTTTGTAGTTGGAACAGTGGTAATAGCAGTAATAACGGCAGTAGTAGTAGTAGTAGTAGCAGTGGTAGAAGTAGTAGTAGCAGTAGCATTAGAAGTAGTAGAAGCAGCAGTAAAAGTGTTCTTCAATTTCTTAAACATTAACAAAGACCAACAACACCTAAATTTCAGGCACCGAGCGGTTGAAACATGGCACAAATGTAGAGCATGAAATGAGTGAGTTGCTTCACTAAACATTTGAATTTTTTTCTGCCGGATCTTAGCGAAATTAATCATCAACATGTGGTTAAACTAATCATCGTAATGTGGTTTATAATTATGTCAATGATGAATGATTAGAACATAAATACTCTCAACATTTAAAGTAATGAAAATAATTTTAGTAACAGAAGTAACGATAATTTCCATTTTTTTTCGTCTTCATTCCAGTACCGGACGGCTCTCTGCCACACGAGCAGCCACAGCCGTCACTACCATCGCCACCATCGCCAGGGACTCAATCATCCTCCAACACTCTTACCCTCACCATCTCCGTTGGATGCGCACTCCTCATTCTTAACTGCGTCGTCTTTGCCGCAACATTTTGTCAGTGGCAGAGGTTCGGGAGAAATTTTCGAAACAACGTAGCAAACACTGGCGGCGCGTACGACAGTGGCGTTGGTGTTTGCGACACGGAGATGGTGAAGAGCAAGATCGCTGTGGCCACAACTTCCTGCATTTTCCAACAGCCATCCACACTCGAGTTGAGTCAACAACAACATCAACGGTCTACCTCGTCTCTCTTGTTGGCTAGTTGCGTCAGCAATGTTGCCGATTATCAGCAGCAGCAGTTGCAAAACTGTCGCCAACAACAGCAACAAATTTTATACCTTCAATCGCAACAAGATCAGATGTTGACAGAAAACATGACTCCAACTTTTTACAACAATTCTTTACAGCCTCAACAAAAACGTAACTTACAATTCATGCCACAGCAGTTTATGCCAACAGCAGCCACGACAACATCCACTCCATCGTCACTTCCTCAACAGCAGCAGCAGCAGCCACTATCAACACTTTCTAATAATTTCTCTCCGTCCCTTGTGATTGGCTCGTATAATTGTCACCAGGACGACGATCACGCGATCAACAAACAGCCACAGCCACAACAACAACAACAGCCACAACAACAACAGCAGCCACAACAACAACAGCAGCCACAACTACAACAGCCACAAAAACAACGACACCATCAGAATCAACATGAACTCCACACAGCCAGCCTTTCCACAACAATAGTTTGACGGAAGGGTGCATATTTAAATTAACAAAAGCATATAATTAACGTTTACTACACAAACAGTTATAACAATTAATTATCAATTAATATTAAATTCTTTATCAAAATAACTAATTAAAATCAATCGATAACAAATAATTATTATTTTATTATAAATGCAGAAAGGATTGTAGAGAATGAATGAGTGAAATGAATGAATTTCTGTTCTCCCACTCTACTCTTAACATTTTCAGAATTATTCACTTTTACAGTAACGTTATTTGCTGGCATTAATTTAATAAATTTTATTTTTTCAAGCTAATCTATGGTTTAAAATAATTTCCATGTAATATATAACGCTAATTATGAAATATATTTATTTATTTATCTATATAATTATTATTACATATACTTATATGTGTGTGAGGGAGTGTGAGTGTGTGTGTGCGTATTTGTGTGTGTAGCGCGCGTGTGTGCGTGTGTGTGTGTGTGCGAGTGTGTGTGTGTGCGAGTGTGTGTGTGTGTGTGTGTGTGTGTGTGTGTGTGTGTGTGTGTGTGTGTGGTGTGTGTGTGTGTATGATGTTGATGATAACTTTGTTGAGGATCTTTTTTATGATGACAGTGATGATGATAAGGATAATGATAATGATGAAGAAGATGCTAACAGCCATGATTAGATTATGATGATGTAAGGAATCTGGATGTCAATCTTGACGATTAAGATGACTGTACAATGATAAGGATGTTGATGATGATTATATTAACCACAAGATTAAGATGACGATGATGACGACGATGATGATGATGATGATGAAGACTATGACGATGATGACGATGATGATAATGAAGAAGACTACAATGGCGATGACGATGTGTAAGTGAGAAGTCGCAAGCGACAACGTTATGAAATACATAAACACGATATGAACCACACAATTAACAAGTTTAAATTTTTTTCCAGGAATATTAATATTATTATTACGTTTATTGACATTATTAATAATATTATTTATTTTTTTATTTTTTAATTAATTGTTATATTATATATTATTATATAATTTATGCATTTTATTACTCCTTATTGCCGATTGTTTGTATTACTCGCAAAACTAAAATTGTTTATTCCATGCAGGCACCGTATTTTTTAATATTATAACTATTGTTATTATTATTATTATTACATTTTGACGGTAATGATAGAACTCTGAATTATATCTATTTCAAAATCGTTTATACTTTCTGTTGTTACTAATATATTTATTATTATTTTTTGATAATTTTATATTTAATTGTTTTTAATAATTTATTTAATTATTAATTTTAATAACAGATTGATAAAATTGTATTTAAATTTGTTCATAGTTGGTGTCACGATAATTAATATAAACTGAATTTTTGGAATAAAATTAAAGGAAAGTCTTTTTAAAATCGATCATCAATCCACAGCCATCAACACGCGAATTTATTGTCAATTCTTTTTAAATTTGTTATAAAAATTTGTTATAAAAATAAATTAAATCTTGCTTTTCATCCGAAAAAATTCAACAACCCAAGTTAAAATATGATGACATAGGTGATATTTCTAGTAGTGTTAGTAGGAAAGTTGCAACAAGAGGGGAATAAAAACTCAGGTCAACAGAATGTTAATAAAATGAGACCTTCATCATTAATTCAGCATCGTTCTTTTTCAGCTCTTTCTGCAAAGTAGCTGGGTTTTAAATTAGCTGTATGATACTTCCTTTGGATATCTTAGTGCCGTTTTGCAAAAAAAAAAGAAATTAAATTTTGGGTATCTTGTTTATATTTTTTGTTATGTTTCTAGCTTTTCTAATATTCTAAATTAGCTGTATGATACTTCCTTTAGATATCTTAGTGCCGTTTTGCAAAAAAAAAAAAAATTAAATTTTTGGGATCTTGTTTATATTTTTTGTTATGTTTCTAACTCTCTAATATTTTATTTTGCATTCGTAATCAAATTTTTGTTTTGTTTTCCCGTTTCTAAACCTCAATTCATATTTAATGAAGATTTATTGACAAAATGGCCACTTCTTAATGCTTTCATTAAGTCGCATTTTTTATCTTTTTTTGAGATTTTCCGTGAATTTTCTAAAAATAATGCCTTGAAATTAGTTGAAAAATTATTGAAATAACTTCTTAAAATTGTCTGAATAAGACATTTTAATTACTTAAAAGCCAGCAGAAAATTGTGAAATCAACCGCTAAATAGAAAATTTTACTGTTGAATAATTAACAAGAAAGTATAAAAGACCAAAGGTGGAAGGTGTTAAAGAGGATGAGCATGAAAGGATGACAATGAAAAACATAAAATAATGAGAAACCAAAATGAAAAGATTTCTTTTAAAAATTTTAAAAATAAATATACAGGGGAGTTCTTCGAAAATTTCCATTCAATTATTGATCCATTCATTCTTTCATTCGTTCATTACTTCAGTTAATGATTCATTTTTTTATCACGTATTCATGCAGTCGTTCATCCACCCAGACATCCCCTATTCATAACATCGATTTAGCCTGATATTTTTTTTCATTTTCACGCGGTAATTTATTAATATTCGCCTGCGTGATAGATGCGAGAGAGAGGAAAAAAGTAGGAAAAAAAATTGAAATTTCACTTTTTTGGCACGCAAGGTTCTTTTTTTAATTTTTGAAAGCTTTTTTTTTTGCAAAATGTTTACTCATTAGTTCGCTCATTTTGTTCGCTCATTTGGTTCACTTATTCTGTTCACTCATTTGGTTCACTTATTTTGTTCGCTCATTTGGTTCACTTATTCTGTTCACTCATTTGGTTCACTTATTTTGTTCGCTCATTTGGTTCACTTATTTTGTTCACTCATTTAGATGACTCCAGCAAATGATGACAAACTTTTTACCTGATTTTCATTTTTACAATTTTCTCACTTTTTATTTTAAAAAACTCCATTGAATAAAAAAATTAAATATTTGAGATTGGTTATTATTTTATTTTGAATCCGGTGGTCTACTTTGTACACAAAAACTATATGCAAATAAATTGCTAGACCAAATGTTCTGTTTTGTCAGGAAGCCAAACTACTTGGTGGTGGTGATGATGATGGGTGTGGTGATGAAGATGATGAAGTTGGCGATAAAAACAATGATTTAAAGTGGTCTTTCTACTCGTTCAAAAAAATTTCAATTCCAAACAAAAACATTTCAAACGATTGCAACTATTAATTACTTATAGTCTTCTAGCATATTTAAAAAAAATTACTGTTCTAATGAATGCTTCAAATATATTTATCATAATCGTCATTATATCGGTGTACATTTTTATTAATTCCATAATCATTTTCATCGTTTCAGCATCATCTAAATCATTTTCTTAGTCAATTCAATCACTGTCTATATCATAATCTTTAGTATTTCCATCTTCACTTTAATCATTTTTATCGTCATTTTTATCTTTCCCATCCTTATTATCATATAAATTATTATCAATTTCATTAATCTTATCATCCTGACAACCATTTTATTTGTTATTTTTATCATAGTCCATACTTCGGCCACCGACTTTATCATTAATTCTACTCTTTGACATCATTTACACCAGGGGTGGGGGGCGGATAAACTACGGTCCGCAAAGCTGTTTTATGCGGCCCGCAAGGCCTTGTTCGCCGAAAATAGTTCGTCAGCCAGACATTATGACCAAAAAAAGAAGCCATAAACCTTAAAAAAATTTTCCCCCGGGTCGAAAAAATTTGCTATTTAAGTACATATGCGGCTCTTCAAAGGTAAAATGGTTCTCAATGCAGCACTCACAGCAAAAGGTTTGCCCAGACCTGATTTACACCATCCTCCATTTTATAATTTTTATAATTTTTGTCATCATTTTTATTTATCATCTCCGTCATCATCTTCATCATCGTCTTCGTCATCATCTTTTTCACCATCTTCATCGCCGTCCTCATCATCATCTTCCTCATCGGACCCACCATCACATAATATTCAACGGCAGCCAAAAAGTTGTTTGTCTCTTAATGGTACGTTAATGTCTTTTTTCAATTAGGCAGATATCGTTAATCTGAATGATGACAATGGCAATCAACATTCATTACCAACTTGCCATCCCTTCCTTTTAACTCCTTTGTTCTACAAATCAGATGAAGAAGCGTATATTAAAATGACTTGCAATCCTTACTTAAGTACACTCATTCATTGGCTGAAGAATGTCTAATTAAAACAAGGAAAATATTGCATTGAATTTATATGTTATGTTCTGGCATGAGTGAATGCATGAATTCATAGACCTAAGTGCATATTTAAATGCACATCATTTTTTGCATATATAAATGCAAACACACATGCACACAAACTCGCCAACATGCATAGTTATTTATATACGTTCATACAAATATACACATACATACATACAAAGATACAAACGTATAAAAAGTCATTACCAGCACACTAACATACAAAATTGTTTCTGTGAAATTGTATCAATGCACGTACTCAAATGCAAGTGCACCAAACTCTAAGAACATCATATAAGTTTGTGTGTGCGTGTATTTAAAAAGTGAAAAATTAATGAACGTTTGTATGTAAGTGCTATACGTATTCTTGCATTGTGATTCTATATACTTTACTGGTATTGGCAGTTATCGGCTAGATGTGTGTAAGTTAGGAATAGGAATAGGAAAGATTTGAAATGGAAACTTCCTATTATTTAATACATTTTAGAATTCTCATTCTTCCTAACAATCACAGCCAATGAAGAAGCGAACCAACCGTAACAGCAAACATTTGAAAATAAAAACCAGCTAAATAACTTAGAAATAGCAATTCGATGCAAACACCTTTCATTAAAACATTGCACGTGAATCGCATCTCACCGGAAGAACGTTTAATCCAATCCAGAATGTAGATCACCAACGTATCACCAACTTGTTCATCTTGTTCAACATGTTCATCCTGCTCATCTTGTTCATCGTTCCAGGGCCTACTGGTTGATGCTGCAAAGTGATGATCTTCCGAATTAATTATCATCGTCGTCATCTTAAGAGCATTATAAAATTGATTACGTAGGGTGTTTTGAAAGTGAAAAAGAGCTGGTAGAAGTGTTTTTGTTGTGGAGTTTGTCGAACTGCTTTCAAATTGGAACATTGGCGAAGATGACTACGTTACAAATGTTTTTTTTCCTAAAATTGTTTCATTTCAACAAGTCTTTTTTTATTTCGAAGTTGCAATCCAAGTTTTTCTTAGTCTAAAATTTATTATTCTAGCGTTTTTAAGTGCATTTATATAAATGTTTGTTTAATGCGTGTGTTTATTTGACTGTTTTTAAATGCTCAAAACTTATTTATTTAAACTAAAAGTTAAACTTTTGAAATTCAAATTATATGACAAAATCCTTACTACTGTAACGATGCTGATGACGACAACGACAATGATGATGATGGTGGTGATGATGATGATGACGATGATGACGACGATGGTGATGATGATAAAGATGATGACCCGAAGCGGTAATAATAAAAATAAGAATAAATTTATGAAGAATTGATATTAACAAGGCTTTTTTAAATATTTTTGAAGTATGTTAGTAGTACGTGGGCAGTGAACAGCAAATAAAGCAACAACAAACACACAAACAACAAACACACCAACAACAAACAAACACACCAACAACAAACAAACACACCAGTAACAAACACACCAACAACAAACACAACAACAACAAACACAACAGCAACAAACACAACAGCAACAAACAGACCAACAACATTAACACAAATTGTCTTGCGCCAGAAAAAAACAACTCCTTGAATAAATAAAATTTCTTTTTGAACAATTTCATTTATTTGGTTTCCTTTTCTCTCTTCCCTTTTCTTCACAATTTTTCTCTCTCTCTCTCTTTCTCTCTCTCTCTCTCTCTTTCTCTCTCTCTCTCTCTCACTCTCTTTCCTTTTCTCTACAATCTTTCTCTCTCACTCTCTTTCCTTTTCTCCACAATCTTTTTCTCTCTCTCTCACTCTCTTTCCTTTTCTCCACAATCTTTCTCTCTCTCTCTCTCTCTCTCTCTTACTCTCTTTCTCACTCTCTTTCTTTTTCTCCCTCTCTACGTGTCTTTATTTCTCTCAATTTTAATTTTTTTCTGACTTTTTGATTTTCTCTTCAATCATTACCTTTCCATGCAAGTCTTCATCATGGAAACATGGAAGGCACCATTTCATCCAACACCACTCGAGAGAAAACACATTCAAACCAGGTCACAAAAATAAATCTGCCAGAAATTCTATAATAAATACTTCATTGTTCTTATTCACGCACAATTACGTGTGTACGTATATATGTACATTAAGTATGTAAGCAGGAGTGTACACGAGTGTGTATTTTTGCACGTGTGTACGCTTTTATGTACACTTTTTGCTTGCATCTAATGAAATTGAATTAAATTTCGAAGATGCTGGAATGTGTTTCTGGAACTTAATAAAGTCATAATCAAATTGTCATTTGGGTGTCACTGCTAAACCCGGAACAATTGTTCGTTTGGCCTTGTCATCATCTTCGTCGTTGTCGTCATCATCATCTTCTTCGCGATATGGTAATCATTCATCATCGCGATATGATAATCATTCATCATCGTAGTCGTCACCAACTGATCACATGCTACAATTTCAGAATTGTCTTCGTAGATGTATTACAACGGATATGAGCATCCTTACAAACTTCATCGTTGTTAGCCCAGTTAATAAGCGTAGCCATCACCATTATTTCATTATCATTTTAATCGTTACATCTCTATTGAAGTTGATTTGCTTCCGTAATCATCATCATGATTGTCGACTTTTTTCAGGATAATCATCATCAACATCAACATCAACATTAAAAGCCACAGCAACAACTAGCATCAACAATATCACAATCATTACCATCAGCGTAACTACCAACAACAAACAGCAACAATAACAACAGCAACAACAACATCAACAACAGCAACAATAACAACAACAACAACAACAGCAACAACAACAACAACAACAACAACAGCAACAACAACAACAACAGCAACAACAAAAACAACATAATCATAATCGTCAAAGTAATAACAACGACAACATCGCCGTTATTATACTCGTGACCATCAAAATATTAATGATAATAATATCAAAAATAATAATAACAACAAAAACAACAATCATAACTACAATAATAACAATAATAATAACAATAACATGTTCCAATTGAAATCTCAACAGCAGCCACAACAATGAATGAGATTGCGAACAAAGCCAGAAGGAATTAAAAAGAAACAATGTAGTCAAGAAGACAATGCAGAAAAGCATGAGTACCTAGAAGAACTACCTATCCAGGCAGCGATTGTACACCATACACAACACTTCAATGCAATCTTTAAACTATGGGAGGTATGTATGTAACAGTTATTACACACACACAAACACAAGCACACACACGCATATATACATACGTATACATACATATATACACACACACACATACATACATACATACATATGCATACACACACACGCACACACACAAATAGGCCTAAATGCATATACATTCACACACAACATACATACACACACACACGCACACATATAGAAATTTAAAAATGTATACACACACACACACACACACACACACACATATATATATATATATATATATATATATATATAATTGTTTGTTTGTTTGTCCGTTTGCATATTCGTTCATTTAATTTTATTTATTTATTCTTTATTTGTTCGTTCATTCATGTGTTCATATGTAAATATTTGTGTCGACAGTTGACCAAACAATTTATGGGAACATTGTCGTGAAAAGTTTGACGATTGACAGATGCAACTGCTCCTTTTGTTCTGGCGCGGTTGGGAAAGATCCTTTTTTGTTGGTCTCATTGGCTTCCTGCACGCCCCGAGATTAACTTTTACAGTCACTGATAGGAAAAATTACGAAGAAAGAGTAGAAATAGATATTTGTTGATATGCTAAAAGGGCAGACGTTATTTCTCAAGAATTATCACAGTTCACTGATAATTTAATATTTTATTAGCATTTTTCTCATACTCATATTTTTAATAAAATTATTGCAATCGTGGATGATTTCATCGTTCTGCCTGATGTTGCATTACTCAACATTAATGTTATTTTTACTTACCTTTTTTTTGATTTATTATTTTCAAATTTGTTTCATTCGAGAAGCCCAGCAATTATGATCGGAGGACGTTTGGACAAAAGCTGAGACAACAAGAACTTAATTAAGAAGCATTAGGTGCACAATGGTGGGAACAGCGTCCTTTCAGACGAACGTAATTAAATGTTTCTTTTTGCATAACATTCTGCATGTGTCTGTCTGTATGTCTTTATGTTCGTCTCAGTCCTCATCCACTTAAAGTGCATGCAAAATAACAGACAGCTATCTGCAATACAATGATTTAGATTGCAATGATTTTCGCGCATACAATTGGCTCACGTACCTGTGACGTCGAAAACTTCCAGCCAATCATCATCGAGTCACGCTTCATCGCAACAGTTCAGGTGTATATATAAACATTTAGATGACTTCCACTACTCAGTCAGCTTGTGTGCTGAAATTGAAAATAATTCATTCGAGCGATGGAGCTTGCCCTGCCCAAGTTTTTCGTCGGTCGCTACAAAACGCCACCACTGCTGCTACTCGATTATCACCGGAGGTTGTTTAATTACTTCTTCATGAAACAACTGCTCTCAAAATATTCCTTTTCTAAAATGCAAAACTTCATGCGCTATCAACCAGGTAGCGATACTTCATTTGACGATCACATCAAAAGCAATAACAATATTTGTTTGAACACCGATTGTTATGATAAAATATGCAGCACCAATTTTCTTACCAGTTTGAGTAATAAGAGTGGCAGCAGCAATAGCAACAGTAGCAGTGGCAGCAGCAGCAGTAGCAGCAGAAGTGTTGATGTTAGCAGAAGCGATGGCTGTGAGAGACGTTTGAGCTGTGGGAGTGCTGACTACTTTTATGAGTCCTACATTTCAACATCAAACAACCAGAAGAACGTTGCTCGGGTCAGCGGAGGGGATGAACATTTTCGCGGTATTGATGTTAATGAAGATGTTTGTTTCAAAATCAAAAGCGAAAATGATGACGATGACGACGACGAGATGAATTTCAACCTTTTAAGTTGCAACAACTTCAGAACATTCATCAACAACCATTTTGAGAACGGTTGTTATGATGAGCAGATAAATTCTAATAAAAGCAATTACAACAACTGCAACTACGTCGTCGACAGCCACACTGAGAACAGCTACACCGGCAAGAGTAACAGCAAGCACTCAAATAACGACAACGACACTACTGCTAGAAACAACAACCTGTCTCCTCGACTGATCAACAACTGCATGCCACGAAATCAAGCGAACATCGTTCACGCCAAACTAAAGTACACCCAACAGCAACAGCAGCAGCAGCATTTCTTCGAACTTTTGAATCAACAGTACCTGCAGCAACATCAATGTCAAAATTTAAAAATGCAACAAAAGAAGCCGAACTACAATCATCAATCACATCAACACTGTCAGAAACATTTAAATCAACTCAGTCCAAACCACAACAACAACAACCACTACCATCACCCAATCATTAGATACAACAAAACGATGTCACACAAAACTACAAAAACCCGTAATCACGTGACTTCCGGATGCAATGTCATCCTCAACGGTGACGTAATTTTTGGAAATGGTCACATGATGTACCAACGGCGGAGACCACAAAAAAAGATTCCTAAATTTTTGCTGGACACAAGTGAGTGGCTCACCAACGTTGTAATAAAAAAAAACTTGAACCGATGTAAAAAAAATTGCAATTGCTCTTCTGTTTTGAGTAAATTTTTTCACCATCCAATGCATTGATATATTGTTATGTATTGTTATGTTATGTAAGCATGCTGTGTGATGTGTTTTATATATGTTGCAAGTCTGGCATCGTTGGTCGGTTAGTTACAAGTTTTGAGAAGTTGGACTAGTTAGTTAGCCAATAAGAAGAGGTAGGGTGAAATAACAGTAATCTGTAAATAACAAAAAACTTATGACTTCGTTGTTTCATTTCATTAACTATATAACTTCTTATCAATTGCAACTTCACTGCCAGTTGTATGTATATGTGTGTTGTGTGTTGTGTGTGTGTGTGTGTGTGTGTGTGTGTGTGTGTGTGTGTGTGTGTGTGTGTGTGTGTGTGTGTGTGTGTGTGTGTGTGTGTGAGTACGCGTACATTTGCACACCGGAAGGTGCATGGAAGCATGGAAGCCGAGACTGCAAGCAATGTCCTTAAAAATTCAGAGGGCTAAAATTTCTAGCGGAATGAACGTTGTTGCTGTTCTTGAGGTCTTGGAAACCGTTAAATTGAATTCAATAAACATGACACAAAACACTTAGTGATATTCGTACGATATGTTAAGCCCTGACCCAACATAGCAGGTCTTCATTTTGCCAGACAAAAATTTGCAAATGCTTCATATTAGATATGCACAATGCGAATTTGACATTCGTCCTAGTTAGATCGGTGAATCTCATGTTTTTACCACGATTTCGCAATAATATCATTGGACGCCAGAACAGGATGATGACACATCGTATTACACTAAATGTTTTTTAAAGATTAACAATCCATCTCGTGATGATTAACGCCGAACTAAATTTATTTGCACTTAAGATACGAAGAAGATACTGGCGTGCGGCTACTGCCACTACATCACCGACCGCAAGAACAACCTGAAGAGACACATACTGGCCATGCATAAGAACGTCAAATTCAGCGCTACACCATTGATGTCAACGTCACCCTTCATTGGCCACCCGACGTCATGGTCGATGATGTCTTCAAGGATGGAAAGCCGAAATTTGTATCAATGATTTTCGATGACGATTTAAAATGATAGAGAATGAAAGGACGTTGTTACAGGCAAATGGAATAACGAATGTTTTGCTTATTAAATTATTTTTATAGTTTAGATCGGAAAACCTTGAAAAATTAATTTGATGAAAGTGACTGAGAACGAGTTGCAATTTACATTTTCTTATAAACGTCTTTACTTTGAACTCTAATTTATTTTATTTTTAAAACTTTGATAAAAAATCTTACTCGTCCAAGAATTTGAAATTTGAAAAAAAAAATAAAAGAAACAATGTTTATTTATACAAAAAATTAGCAAAAGTTCAAGCTATTCGAATCTAGTAAAGAATAATTAACGCTAGGGTCCTGTTCGATGAAAATTTCGTTTTGATCTTTGGTGACCTCGAACCTGACCCACTTATAATTAGGACATTTTCGTGCACCGGGAAAGCACTGAATCAGGTTTTGCAGGGTGGGGTGAGTTAGGCCGAAGAATTTAGCACCGTTTGGAACTGTTGGGACTGTTTTGGGGCCTCTGCGTGGAAAATGTTTCAAAATTATTGAGAGCGTCAATTTGCAGACATAATCAATTTCTCATAGCATCCACCCTGCAATGCAAATATCGAACGAAATATTTCGCAGTTACATTACACAACGTCACGAAGTGTGCGCACTCTTTTAAAAATGATACCATTCAATAAAAACGTGTTGACAGAAAGGAAATCACGAGGTTGCTACTTGTTACAAGATTAAAGTGCAATTTGGAATGGCTTCCATAAAAATCTGTTTGTTTGACAATCAATAAAAACCTTCCTTAATAAAAGAGATTTGAAAGCCTTAATAACAACGCAGCCCAGTTTTGTAAATTTCAACGCGTCGCAAACTAAACGCCAGGCAATCATGACGCAAAATCGGCGGTCTTTCACATCAACTCAACGTGAACACTCAATAAAAAAAATACTAAATAAAAGTGAAGTGAAACTTTTTCGCAAGAAGCATCTGCACACCTGACTGAATTGATGGCATCAAGAAGTTCCTTGTGGCAGATGTCTGGATTTGAACCGACAAACGTCTGGCCGTCATCTTCGATGATTATTTCAAACTGTTGGGTTGGTAATTAACCAACTAAAATGACATGGAACAACAGATGAAAGATAGAATGATAATAATAGTTATTTTATAACGTATGCTCATATAACAAAAAATGCTATAAATAAAACAAAAAAAAGTGAAAACCAAATCATTTCAAATAGTTAAACAAATTAGAAGGCACAGACTCTCGGCTGCAGTCCATCATCTGTAACTCTACATGTGTAGAGAGTTGTGATGGAGTGCAGGTCAATGGAGAGATAGAGGCGAGTGCTACAGTAGCCAACCGGGTAGATACATTCCGGGCAGTGGTACTTCATAGAGGGATTGATCTGCTCATTGTGATGATGGCGGTGATTGTGATGATGGTGATGTTATGATGATGGTGATGACGATGATGGTGATGATGATAGTGACGATAGTGATGACAGTGATGTTGAGGTTAATGATAATAATAATGGAAACAGTGATGATGTTCATATCTGTAACAATGATGACAATGATTATAAAGGTAACTGTGATGACATCATATAAAAGAATGATGAGTAAGAGAAAATAAATTAGTAATATTTAGTAATTAGTTTTACCAATTTAAGAGATATAATATTAGATATATAAGAGATATAACATTAGATACAAAAAAGATATAGTCTCACTTCTCCAATTGAGAAAACAGTTAGAGAGCCCAGCTCGATGGGAAAGATGGGTCGACCCGAAGAGTCGAGAGGAGCCAGGGTAGCTCGCCTAGCCACCGTCTGATCGGATCCTGACTTTGGTGTCTTCTGTGTTGCAGGCTTGTAAGCGTCAAGCAGGTGGCTGTCGTCATCGTCTGGGTGGTGGTGGTGGTGTGGTTGAATCAGTTTATGAATTCGTTCATCATACAACTGTAATTGATTTCAAATTAAAAATACAACTGCAAAACAATTGGAAACCAATCGTGTTAGCCAGATTGAGGTTATCAGTATTTCTTTATGTGATACTACATTTATAAATTAATTGGTTTCAAAATGGTGTTAATGCAGCAAAACATAATGCCAACAATAGCACTAGCAAAGTATAAATTCTATAATTCCATGTTTATCCATCCCACTTACAGACACCAACAATTATAATGTTTAAATGTTCATACTAAAACATTCCCTAATTTACTTAAAAAAAGGGAATTGGTCTGCGCTTCTCAACCTATTCCTCAGCAGTTTAACCATTAAATTACCTGTCAGAAGTTTTCTAAGTGTCATAATTATTATTAATTCTCTTTTAATTAATTCTCAAAAGCATTGGCACCTTTTTGCATTTGAATCTAGACACTGCAACAGAACGACCGGGCACCTTAACCATTACATCATCTTCCCAGCATCCAAAAAATGTATATATCATTTTCAATATTGCTGACACAACATTGTACGGAGCAATAAAAAATTGATCAAATGATAAGCCTGCTTCGTACCTTCATTGCTAACACAGCTTGCGTCATTATTATTTTTTAATTTCAATTTTTTTTTCTTGTGTAATGCTGCAGTCGACTTCTGTAAAGAGTTGAGATGTGTCTCCAGCTGTAACAGTCTTGCTAGTAGATATCTACAGTAAATTTAACTAATTTAAATAATTTCAATGATTTAAATAATTTAAACTAGTAAAATTAACTTGTAGTTTAAATATTTTAATAATACATTTGAAACTGCTTAATTTAGATTTACAAAATGTCATATAATAAATAAAAATATATAAATAATCAATTTTTTCATCTCAAATTTCAGATTTCATCTTTTCTTTTAGTCACATTATAAAATAAAATTTAAACTAGTCACTGATTCTTAACAATGGCCATAAGAATGATAAACACAATTATGTTGGAAAAAGAATTAAACTTTCAAGAGGAACTAAACAAAGTTTCACCATAGTTTTTAAATAACAAAAGAACAATTAAAATTTTAATTTTAATTTTGAAATAATTAATAATTAACAATTAGGAATAAAATGAAAAATTTATTATTTATTGAATTGGAAACCAAACGTAAATAAATAAAATAAAATTGGGTAACTTCTTAATAAATTATAAATAAGGCTATGTTACAAGGCAAGCTCTATAAGACAAGTGTTGTTTTGTAAATTAAACATCATATAGGACACTCGATTGTATTTATAGATCAATTTTCAATTGTTTATGGGTGAAAAAAGGAATAAAAAATTCTTAATTTACTATTAAACTGTTAAATATTAAAAATTTTATTATTCTGATTTTGATTTAAAATACACAATGACAATTCTATTTAAATTTAAAATATCTGCATGAAGGAGACCGCAAAAAAGCTACTGAATTTTTCAAAAAAAATGTTTTCAATTTATTTTTGAAGTTAATTTTATCAGTCCAGTCTCTTAGTAGTGGTCACTTACACTTTTTCTTCTTTTGTTCGGCTGATTTTTTCATTCACCCTTTCAATTTCATCTCGAATAGCAGCATTTGTCTGTTATAATTTATTTCATAATGAATATATTATTATATGTAAGTAAATAAAATATAAAAATATAATTTTTTAAAATACAGTTAATTATTAAATTAAATTTTATTAAATTATTAGTGATATATAAATAAATTATTATACATACAGAAAAAATTTAAAAAAATAAATTAATAAATGTTTTTAATTAGCAAATTAATAATAATTACAAATATGTACTCCTTAGCCAGCCTTTTCAGACTTTTGAACTTCATTTTAAAGTCAATATCGCCCATGTTCACGTCTTTTTTAATCTTCATTAAAAAATGTTGTTTACAAAAAGTGTGTAATATGGTAAAAAAAATTATTGTCTATGGCATGTCACATTTCGATTTCTCCATGGATTTATACAATATATTTTATAGATTTATGTCCATGGATTTCACGAATATTCAGAATACTCAAAATTTCAGAAGGGAACACCAGATTATTTACTCGTCAGGTGGGGAAAGAAGCTTATGACTCACGTCTTGTTTAAAATAGAAGTTATTTTTAAGTTAACATCTTTTTTTGTCTTTTTGTTTAATAATTAACAAACAATTCATGAAATACATATAGGCAGTATCATATACTCATAATGCAGTATTGGTAAAAAAGATTAATGAAACATTATAAAATACCTCAAATACTTTAATAAAATTAATGCAAATCAGTAATCATATATTACTGAAAGAAACGTGAATGTTGAATTGAAAATTACTGATTAAACATGACCATTAAACTATACTGCCACGCGAGCATAAAAGATGTTTTAAAGATATGAAATGAAGCACGCACACGCAAACATGAAGACTATTGGTCGAATTGTCTAAGCAAGCACGCTGACACATAGCAGAATCGAATCACAAAAAAAATAATAGTCCAATTGATAACATGGTAGTTTAAAAATGAAAACGTGGTACTGATAAGGATACGATGTTTGAATTCAGCAGCAACGAGAAGCATGCAAACGATCGTTTGAATTGGATGGCTCTGAAAAGAGCCTTTTGTTGTTGCGATGTGGCGCACATGGTTTCTTTCTACTTAGGTTGACTAGTCTGATTGGCTCCTCCAGCAGTGGGACCTCCCCCACCTACTTTAGCAGTTTTCTTGGGCAAAAGAACGGCTTGGATGTTTGGGAGAACGCCACCCTGAGCGATTGTGACTCCGGCCAGCAGCTTGTTCAACTCCTCGTCGTTTCGTATGGCTAGCTGAAGATGACGTGGAATGATGCGAGTTTTTTTGTTGTCCCTTGCGGCGTTTCCTGCCAGTTCCAAAACTTCGGCTGCTAAATACTCCATGACTGCTGCCAGGTAGACAGGCGCGCCGGCTCCCACTCTTTCAGCGTAGTTGCCCTTGCGCAGCAGTCTGTGGATTCTTCCTACCGGGAACTGCAACCCTGCTCGACTCGATCTGCTTTTGGCCTTACCTTTGACTTTGCCACCTTTACCTCTTCCGGACATTTTCGAGTTTGTAAACAAAACAAAACAAAACGAAACACTAAGCTTACAATCTTCACGAATGAACACAACTCTTACATGTGATGCATAAGAGTAAGCTTATCTTATATACTATATATACTATGAAGCCATTGACCACAGGCTAGTAACTCTTTGTTAGATTTTATAAAACATCACGTGACGCTTAATGCAAATACAACCAATCAGAGCGATCTTCTTGTTTACAAGCCTATGATGCCTATTTATAACCATGATGTGCATGTATTTGAATTAAAATGTTTTACAACGTTAACAATATTTCATAAAAAACTAAATTGAAATTTTGTTCATTAAACGTAATTATTTTCACAAAAAACAACAAAACTTGTCGCAAATACGACATTCGCAAAAATTTAATGTTTCAAGATAACACCCGATATGAACTAAATTATATATTAAAATTACATTAATAAGAAAAATAAAACCAACCTAAACTTTTCTTTGTCTCTTAGATTCCTTCTCTAATCTCACTCACACGTTTTCAAACACACGAGCACGCTTTCTCAAACTCTCTCGCTTGTAAATAGGTTTGCGCTATGGTCGCGAATCACGTGATCTAATCACTTGGCTGGTAAAGTCGTGTATATATGAACCTACTTGAATTGTACAAAGCACTTTTAATAGTTTTTACTCTTGTTCTTAACTTCTCAACCAATCCAAAGATTCGTCATGTCTGGAAGAGGCAAAGGAGGAAAGGGTTTAGGCAAAGGTGGAGCCAAGCGTCATCGAAAAGTTCTCAGAGACAACATCCAGGGTATTACGAAACCTGCAATTCGCCGTATTGCCAGGAGAGGTGGAGTGAAACGCATTTCTGGTTTAATATACGAGGAGACAAGAGGTGTACTTAAGGTCTTCCTAGAAAACGTCATTCGCGACGCCGTCACATACACTGAGCATGCCAAGAGAAAAACCGTGACGGCCATGGATGTCGTGTACGCCCTCAAGAGACAGGGACGTGCCATCTACGGTTTTGGTGGTTAAAAACTTTCTACACAAGTGTAAAACAATGGTCCTTTTCAGGACCAAAATAAAGTTCGATGTCTCGTTGTCAATGTCGGCTATGCAATAAAACTTCACTTGTTTAGATTTATCAATCGTACACTCGGTTAGGCTTATTTTAAGTTACGTGTATTTAAATGTTATTGATCAGATTTTGTCTACATTTTTCATTTGATCTTCTCAGTTTGTTAGTTTTTAAGCGCAACAGCCTTAAACAAATTAGAAAAAACATTACTACCAACCATCAGACTAAATGTAAAGTTATATCTCAGCTAGATCGGCTATGTTTAAACGTCTATATGTTTAAATGCATTGATTAAATGTTTTTCAGTCAATTTTATATTTTAAATTCATGAAATAAAAAATAGCTAAAATCTGAGCTCTTAATTTTATCGTTTATTTTGATATTCATGGCAGTCACAATTGGTATCAGTGTTGGCTAACGTGCGACAATATTGGATGAGGTAAAAGGTAGTCATGTTTTTGGATGAATGTATGTAAATGAAGAATAAACAAATTAACAAAGGGTATATCTTAGAGAGGCACCAAATATTCGATCAAAATTTGACATTCGGCTTCGTTTTAACAAGACCCACGTGTTGTTTTTTCATTATTATATTTTGAAAAATCATAATCTGACAGACGCAGAGCAGAAACTGTTACAACATGCAAGAAAATAACATAAAGTTAAAACGGGATTATAACGGAAAACATTTAACGGAGTAAGAATGTATAACCATAACAAGCATGGAAAATAAAATGATTATTAAAAAAACGAAATAGATTAACTAATTAATTGACTAGTTAATGCCATTAAGCAAGCTATGTGTTCACTAGAGAGAAAACAAATGACAAATATTTATTGAGTGTTAATATATTTTAGGTGTCTTGTAATGAAGGTCTTTTCCTTAAAAGCTGATTGAGTGTTTCCTAATTGCTTTCAAACAGGTCGAATTACAATGTCTATCTAACAAATTGTGTGGTATACTTACAAGATGAAAAAATCGAAATCTAAAAGTGATATAAAAAAAATTTAAAATATCCAAATTAGGCGAACTTAACTCTGTTCCTTGCACTAACTAAACATATTCCATACATGTGCCTCGATTCCCACATAAACGTGAATTTTTTTGAAATAGTTATGAACTTAAAATTTCTCGCAAAGGATCTATCTAGTTATATGGGATATATTATATATCCATGCTCGCAAAACGAGCTATTTTTTAAACTTCACTTTTAAATTTATCGTCATGCCTATAGTAACGTCCTGGTTGTCTGACTGATTTCTTTTAATTTAATAATACTTGGTTCAAAGGTTGTTATTAATAGTTAACTATTTATTAATTTGAATGATTTTAATAATAATTCAATAAAAATGAATGAAAACGTAAATGACAGTAGCGAGAGAAAACCCACGGCAGAGGAATGCCAATGTTCAATCAAGGTCAGTGAAACTGAAAATATTCAGCTAGCTAACCCAGCTGAGGCTGATGATGACTGCTCGAAACAGGCGATGATGGCGGAGTCAGAAAACGCAACCACAACAGCTACCAAATATGCAGCAACAATTGCAAAAGACGCAACAACTACACAAAAAACTACAACTTGTAACCAAACCAGAACAGAACAGACAAACAGCACATGCATTGGTGTCTTGGAATTAAAATTGGATCTTCCTATGGAAGGTTTCTAAATTATAATATAAATAAAATATAACATTATAACTTATATATATTTTCCTCTCAGCCAAGTCTTACTCATTACTTTAAGTTTAATTTTTACAAGAATGATTTTTTTTAATATTTAAATTCTAATTTAACAGCATGCTCAATTGAAATAATATGCTGTTTATTCTTAATTGTATTAATAATTTATTTGTGTTTTTCATTGAATTATTATGGTTTATTATATGCTTTGGCCTTTAATCCTATTTACTGTAGGTCAGTGATTTAGTGAAGCAAATATGGAAGCTGCTCTTCCACTTTTTCTAATTACTTTTAATTCAATTTATAAATAAATAAACTGTACTCAAGATTTATGTTTTCAAACAAATTCATACATTAATGTTTTTTATTCATTAATTACAAAAAATTTGAAATGGTTGTATGAGAAATATAAAAATTTTATGTAAAATGTTTGTCCTTAAGTTGACCTGTCAACATTGTCAAATGCACCTTCCAATTCAGTAACTTCAACAATTAGTTCGTCTGGGAAACATCCATTGAGAACAGTTGCGGTTGATGAGTAAGCATTTTGAAATTTAGTTATATCCTCTTATATAATAACTGAAATAAATACAATATGACTTGATAATAATTATTTCTCAACCATACAGCTTAATGTACCATAGACTAAGTTAGTATTATTCAATTGATTTTTTATAGGTAAATCATTTTTGTGAAAAATTAGATCTATGATATGTGTGGTAAATGTAAATGCAATATAGCAACAATGGAAATTTTTTCAACAAAATTCAGGAGAAAATAATTTAAAGTTAAGAAAAGCTGTCTCTCAAGTTTACGAGAAGCACTATTCAGACTCACTGAAAGAGTTGAAGAGTGTCCACAGCAGCCTCGACAAATCACTTCATCTTTCCAAAGTAAATTCTTTACCAAAAACGTTTTTTTTCATTGGGGAAAATACTTATTGTACTAGACATTTTTTTCTCAGTCTTAGCATTTGTTCTGTGAGTGTGTATGCTATTTTTTTTTATTTTGTGTCCGTGTCATTTTTATTCGGCATTATTTATCATCTATTGGGAAATTATTTCAGTTCATTGCATTTTTGTTATTCAGGTAACATCTGATGCACTGAAACAGTTGACAAATAATTTGTTCAGTTTAGAAGACAAATTGAAATCTATGCCCTCTTCAGAACATTTCCTGCCTAATTTGAATATTGTCTTGAACAGAATTTGATTTGAAACATCTTTTTTGCAAAAATTTAATAAAACTTATTTTTGTTTGTGTAATAATAGCTTGATGTTTAATGTAATCAGATGTGCGTCATACGTCAAGCAAGAATGTGGATAGAGTGTGTGTTAACTTGTTATATCAGAAAACCTTTTGAAAATTGGTAAGGATTGAAGATAGTGAAATTTTAATTTTGGAGGTTAAGCGTACATTTGTACGTGGCACATGCTTATGTAGCATATTTACATATAAAAAAAAATTGGTACCATATGTTATAATTTTTAATATATATTTTTGTATATATATTTATATACATGGATGCCAGGAATGAAATGAGGTTTTGTTTTTGTTACCCCCATCACTATATTTGTCAACAGTTTACTTTTCAACATAATAAAATAAACAGTGTGTTCCGGTATTTGCCTAATTTTTTTTCTCCGCAAAATCAGTTTCAAAAAACCAAAGCAACATGGCATTTGAGGTTCACAAGTTTGATTCCGGAGAGTTCCTTCATGTTATTTTGTTGGATGATGTTGAAAACTTCGAAGATCTGAACGATGTCGTCACTTGCAATTTGAACGTGGTCCTCTTGAACCCCGAACTTGTAGGTTAAAAACGTAAAAAGTTAGGAATTTTTAAATAAAAATAAAATAATCAACCAAATTGTGAAAATTATTTTTACAATAATTCAATCTTATAAAATAAATGAGGTTTATTAAATATTCAAATTAATTTCAACTGATATGAATACACTGGACTGGCTGTTTGTTGTCTGTTGTGGTTTTTCAAAATTATCCTATCGACTATCCTATTACAAATTACAGTAATACAGTAATCGTATTACTATATATTACTATAGTAGTATTACTATAGTATTACTATCCTATTACAATAATTACAGTAATTTTTACTGAGTAATAGTATTACTACTGATTATTTATTTACTTATTACACTTAAAATTCAAATAAAACAAATTTCTCAATTTTAAAAATTAATCAATAATGATTATCCAATAATCATTCTCAAATTCAAATAAAATAGCTTGTTTAATTAACTTTAAGTAAGTTAAAAGAAAGATAACATCATTATGATAATTTAATAATTTAATTTTAAATTGTAAATTTTACAAAAGTTACATTATTTTCAATTAAATTTATCTATTTGATATTTTATTATTTTTAGATTGTAGACATCTTTCAAGTTTATGTGGCTGTCCTGAAAGCACTGACAAACAAATCAAACAATAAGATGATCACCAAATCTTTCCAATCTGAAGTTCTTTTTTCAGTATCCCCTTCAAAAAATGTAAGTACATATATAAAAAAAAATAAAATTTTATGTAATAAATAAAAATATATCTATAAACATTGGAATTTTTAAATCTATAATTTGAATTTATATCATTATTAGTTTATTTATCATCACAAATTTAAACACAATTGTTTTTTATGATTACTTAACTTTATCACTTCTCCATTTTAAAATGGCCGATCTCAATAGATAGCAACTTCAATAAAGAGATTTAGTGCGAGAGAGAATTCAAAATCAGTATTGGTGGTGGCTGTCCACACAACGGATGAAACAACGTATCTACAAAACTTACTCAAAAACATTAAATGTACATTTAAATCAATATCTGATCTCCAGTCTATTTCAAACTTACAAGACATTAAAATGGTTAGGATATAATATTATATATGATTTAGTTGCTTGTGACAAGAGTTATTTATTTTGATAATGCTGAAATTATTATTAAAATGTACATTTTTTGCTGCCTTTTACCAAATTGTATGAAAAGTAATCATTATATCCAACTAGTAAATGTTAAGTAGTTATACTTGATGCCAGGTTCAATTAGATTTTAGTATTCTCAAATTTTAAGGATTTTTGGATGTCATTTTAATGAATAAACAACTGATATTTATTATGATGAAGTTTCTATTTAAGTTTGAACCTTAGGTCATATTTATCTTACGTACAACATCTTATCTGAATTAACCAACCAAATAACCAGCTGGTTATTTTTGTCTGCAGATTTACGGAATAACAGAAAAAGAATTATCATGTTCGACGATTGTTGATTCTGTAGTCTCCAGAGTTGCAACTAAAGACTTTCTTTGATGAACAGTTGTGATAATAAATTGTTTCATTCATATTTATTAAATAAATTAATAGTTGGAAGACTCATGCGAATACCTAAAAATTTTTTCGTTTAAAAAGTATTTAAAATAACGCCCTTTTTCATTCTTTACGGTTGAACAAAATTATAATTTTATTTCAATTAAATTAGTTGCAGCTAAGCAGATTAAAAGATACTGTTTTGCGAAGCCAATCATCATGGTTTAAAAAGCAGTGTTTTGCTCTCCAAATTTTATGGTTTCTTAAAAGATAATGTTAAGCAAGCTGAAATTTGGAACACTTTCCCAAGCATCTATGCACTAACTGCTTATGGCAGGGGTGGGCAAGATTTTTGCTGTGAAGGCCTCATTGAAAACTATCTTACCTTTGAAGGGCCGCATATGTACTCGACCTGGAGAAGAATTTTTTTAAGATTTGTGGCTCCTTTGTTAGTCATAATGTCTAGCTGACTACCTTTTTTGGCGAACAAGGCTTCGCGGGCCGTAGTTTGCCCACCCCTGGCTTTCGTCAACATTTGAAAAAACCATTACACAATACTGGAAATAATTGAAAACTGTAAAGAAATCTCAACGCTATGTTTCTGCTAACCATTCATTAAGATTTAAGTACCTACATCGACTGTTATAACGTTTTAGGTCTTTTAGCCAAACATCATGCCACTGTGATATAATAGGTAAAGATGAATAATCGTTTCGCGTTTAGTTATTGGGCAGAGAAGTAGAGTCGTTAAAAACTGTGACAGTGATTTTCCGAAGTTTTGATTAAGGTAAAAAATAAAATACTCTCACCAGCTTTGTTTAAACGATCGACCATCATCCATTCAAATATATTTGAAAAAATAAATTCAAATGTTTCTAAAAAAAAAATCTCTTCAACGCATACACTCGGTGTTTGCCACGTAACCAACTGAGTGACGTCGGTAGTAATCATCAATCATTAATGAGGGTAATATTCCGGGTTTATTTTTAAAAAGCTATTGCGTTTATATTTCACATAAAGATCAACGTTCTTATGAATGAGTTAATTATGAACATTGCAGATTCAATCATACTTTAAGCGTAAACATCTAAAATTAACTTAAGTTTATGCAATGTTTGTTACGCACAAATGGTAACCTTAACGATATCGACCGGTTTCCAATCAGTTCAATCAGTTTCCACGGAAACGTATGCTAGTTTTGCCACATAGTTCCATCAATTATAAATTTGTTTGGCCGTCGGAAGTTGGTTGCTACGAAACAATAAGAAACGAATATTGATATTATTGAGAACATTCAGTTCGATTTGAAACTTTTTTTGAAGTCGTTTGATATTTCTAGCTGAAAGAAACCCATAATTTTCGAAAGGTGAATAATTTCATTCGTTGTTAAATTTCAATCGTTAGATATGATGTCAATAAAAAAAAATAGGTACGCGTTTCATTTTGTTTGTTTTTTTTTATAATAAAACGATTCAAGTCGGATGCTACTCCAACTTGTATGCTTTTCCAGCTCTTCCGAATTTTTTAACAGAAGAGTTTGATGAGATTAGAGTGAAAAATAATTGAGCTTCGCATTATGTTTACCCAATAACTAAAATTCTATCAACTTAACGTTTTGATTCATTAATCCAACTTTTTAATAATAATTTGTTTGCTCAATATTTTTTGTGAAATATTTTATCAGAATATGATATTAAGTTTTGTCACAACATTAAAAGAATTACAACAGCAATTGAGTCTTAAAACCGACCTCACACGATAAACTCCACGACAAAACGTACAACTCGCAAATAGTTAGCTCTGAATAAAAGAAGATGTCTGGATCACGTGACTGGGATGAGATGAGTGAAGGAGGAAGCGCAGGCGAGGACGGCGATAAGAAAAACATCGGCAGCAGCAGCAGCACTTCCTTGCAACAGAAAAATGGATTTTTCGGAAAAGTCACGAACGGGTTGAGATGTTCGTATCAGTTATTTTAATTCACGTGAAATTTTAAACAAACAAAAACTCGGACATTTAGTTGTTATAAAATCATAACCATTAATTAATCATTAACCACTGTTTAAAATTTTCTGACATTTTATTTGAAGACTTCTGGTCGACAAAAGACACGTTGAACGAGAACGAAGACAGCAACATCAAAATAAAAACCACCCTCAGAGAACTTGTCGTCTACATCCTATTTCTCATCGTCCTCTGCGTCAGTGAGTTGTAATTTTACTCCACTTCTGCCATCTACATCATCCTATAATTATAATTATAATTTTTCTTCATTAGAATGTTTAATTTCATCATCACCCTTTTCTTGTTAGTGACCTTCGGGATGACCAGTGGTTCCATGTTCTACTACAACCAAGCCATCAACAGTCTCTTCATCGGATCTCCCATCACTGATGGCAGCCTAACTACATTCACCAGCATGTCGTCCACTGAAGATCTCTGGACTGTAAGTCTTTACGCCTGTGTGTTCGTGTGTGTGTGTGTGTGTGTGTGTGTGTGTGTGTGTGTGTTTGTGTGTGTGGTAATGTAATTTTTTTGCTTAACGTTGTTGTTAGTTCACCTCTTAATTATAATTTTTTTTATAATTATTTGTTTTTCTGTCATCATTATGAAACTAAAATCATCACAATAATCACTTTCTTCATCATCATGATTGGCCACCACCACCGCCAACATCATCATCACAATTAGTATCATCATCACCATTTTCATCATTCTCTTCATCTTCATCTTCATTATCACCATCACAACTAGCATCATCGTCACCATCATCCTCATCATCACAACTATCACCCCCCATCATCATCATCATCAGTTTATGCAGAACAACCTGTTAAACAGCTTGTACCCTGACAGCTGGTACAACCAGATGAACTTCACCGATCAAGAGTTTGGATTCGTTATGCATGAGAACAAGCTGCTGGGTGTTCCCCGAATCAGACAGGTGATGAGAAGGATGATGATGATGTAAATGGTGATGTAGATGATGATGACGGTGATGATGATGATGTATATGACGACGACGACGATAATGATGATATTGCGATACAGTACCAATAAACCGGAAAAAGATGATGCTATGATAAAAAAAGGTGGCAACGCGAAAATGACGTAACATTAGATTAAAAGTAAACAGTGATGTAAACAAAATGATGTTGACGTTGAAGTTAGTGGTGATTTTAATAATGGAGGTAAAGGGTATAGAATGGCAAATAACAATAATGACGATTAAAGTGATTTTTGGGTCATTTTTTTCAATCTCTGATATTAAATGTCCGAATATGACGACTAAGCAACCCTAGACGTAAGATTAGATTTACATAATCATGTTATAGTTAACTGCAGTCTGCTCTAGCTAGATTCTTTCTCGACTTGATTTTTTTCAATCAAATTTGGAATTAATTAATAAAAAAAAAACAAGATTTTCATAATTCATTTAAACTGCTACACAGGTGAAGGTGCGTAACAACAGCTGCATCATCCCTGACGACTTTCAGGAATACATCAGGGAGTGTTTCGATTCCTACAATAGCGACAACGAATTCAAGCACTCCTTCGGTGGCATCAACGGCACGGCGTAAGAGTTGTGGTGGTTGCTGTTGCTGCTGTTGTAGTAGTAGCAGTAGTTGTTGTTGTGGTAGTTGTTCTTAATGCTGTTGTTGTTGTTGTTGACGTTGACGTTGTTGTTGTTGACGTTGTTGTTGTTGGTGTTTGTTATTGTCATGAAGTTTGTTGGTTATATTTCCAATAGACATTGTTAAATTTGTTAGTTTAAATTATTTTTAAAAATAAAAATTTCTACTGAGGTCCGGTGTCTTAGAAAGCACCTACAACAAAGCAAGTTATCCACAACTTACGTGTAATTGGCTGACATTCCTTCACGCACGCAAACAGATGGCAGTACAGAGATTCATCAGAGATGAAGAGTTCGAGTTACAGCGGGCAAATCTCATCATACGGTGGCGGAGGGTTTGCACAGGACCTGGCACTGAATCTCGAAGACTCACAGGCCCTCGTACAAAACTTATTCGACAACCTCTGGATCGACCGCGGGACTAGGGCGGTCATCATCGATTTCACCCTCTACAACGGCAACATCAATCTGTTCTGTGTCGTAAGGTTGGGCTTACGTTGAAAGTAATAATAATAATTAATAATAATAATAATAACAATAATTATATTATTAATAATAATCATAATAACAATAATAATAGTTATAAGAAATAATAACGTTCTGCTGACGATTATAAACGACAATGATAAATGCCAGTATAACGAGATGATATTACAGTATCAATATCACACGGCACCTTCACACAAGCACCATCACATCAGACTGGTTGCAGAGCTGCCTGCCACGGGGGGCCTATTCCCTGCGTACACCCTGCAGACCTCCAAACTGCTGAGGTACGTCACACCCATGGACTATTTCGTGCTGGCCTGTGAGATCTTCTTCATCCTCTTCCTCATATACTATACTGTAGAAGAGATCATTGAGGTGATGATAAGGATGATGATGAAGATGATGTCGCTAGTAATATGATAACTCAATAAATGAAAAAATAATCTTCGCACAGATTCGCATGCACAAGCTCGCTTATTTCAAAAGTTTCTGGAACATTTTGGACGTTCTGAACATTTTGGTCGGTGTTTGTTGTTGCATTTTTGACGTCTACAGGACTATTTCCGTGAACAACGAGCTGGATAAGTTGCTTCAAAATCCGGACAAGTATGCCAACTTTGTTTTCCTCAGTTACTGTCAGGATATGGCCAATTCGGCCCTCGCCATCATGGTCTTCTTCTCCTGGATCAAGGTTGGCTTCTTTAGAACAGCTGAGTTTTATGACTAAAAGATTAAATTTGATTTAACCTTTTCTGGTGAATTATTTGCTCTTTAATATTTTTACGATTTTTTTAATAAATACACAATTAAACAAATTATTTGTGATTTAACTGGTAATTAACATTTAAAAAAATAAAGAGCAATCGATTCTTTGCTTGAACAGATTTTCAAATACATAAGCTTCAACAAGACGATGACACAGCTGTCCTCCACGTTGAGCAAATGTTCCAAAGACCTCGGAGGGTTTGCGGTCATGTTCTTCATCTTCTTCCTGGCGTTCGCTCAACTTGGATACCTGCTTTTCGGCGCCCAGGTTCCCGACTACAACTCACTCGGAACTTGCATGTTTGTCTTGACGTTTCATATTTAAACAAACATTTCATTAGTAATTCTGAAAGTTACCAAAATTGCGATAAATTACGATAAAACTTGGACTTTTCCAAATTTGACCTTGTTTAATTAACTATATTTTGCATCAAAATTTACATATAATAATAATAATTTGTTATAACTGATGCGATGAAGTACATTTACTTGCCAGATTCACGTTGTTCCGCTTCATTCTCGGCGACTTCGACTTCGCCAGTCTGCAGCAGGCCAACAGAGTGCTCGGACCCATCTACTTCGTCTGCTTTGTTTTTTTTATGTTCTTTATTCTTCTCAATATGTTTCTGGCCATCATAAATGACACCTACTCCGAAGTTAAGAGTGAACTGGCCGAGGCGAAGAATGAATTTGAGATGGGAGATTATTTCAAGCAGGTTGCACATCAATATTTTTATTAATTTTTTAATTTTTTTGGCTAATGTTGCTAGTTGAATTTTTAGTTTCGGTTAATCCAAATCATTCTATAATTTTTCGTTCAACTTAATTTTTTAATAAGACTTCAATTTTGTTGCAACCCGGTTGCCAATGTGACATAAACTGACCAAAAAACACTCAAGCAACCAACACAGGAAGTAAAATTTCAATTGAAACGTAGGGAGCGTTGAAGATGATGGACAAGCTGCACTTGAAGAAAGAGAAACTCGAAGACATCGAGTCGGCCGTGAAGAGTGGCGACCTCAACAACGACGGTGTGGTCGATTTTGAAGAATGGAGACACAATATGAAGAAGTGCGTGCGTTACGTTGGCGCATCCATCGTTGTTGTAATTATCATTCGGTGTTATCGATTGACCAGAGCACAACTTTGATACGCGAAACATTTTCAAAGGCGTGGCTATGCAGATGCAGAGATCGAGGCAGTCTTCGCCAGGTACGACTCGGACGGAAACAGGAACCTGGACGGGGCCGAGATGGACAACATGGCGGCCGATCTGGAGAGGCAGCAGGTTAGGAAGAGAATGATGATGATGGTGATGATGATGATGATGATGATGATGGTGACGATCAGGTAATGATAATGATGAAGTGATGATAGTGGTGACGATCAGGCGATGATGATGATGAAGTGATAAAGAATGAATGAATGAATGAATGAGTGAGTGAGTGAATGAATGAATGAATGAATGAATGAATGAATGAATGAATGAATGAATGAATGAATGAATGAATGAATAATGGTGACGAGGTAATGATGAGGGTGACGATCAGGTGATGATGATGAGGTGATAAAGAATGAATGAATGAATGAATGAATAATGATGAATTGAAATAGTAACGCTACACTACACAATCCATGCATTCCCGCCTTAGGCCAAGTTGGACAAGGAAATGCTATCGAACAAGATGGCTATGGAGAGTGCCGGCCCTAAGCCAGAAATGACGTCACTGCTGTGGAACAAGGTGGATAAATTGGAGAAGATGTCAAACGAGATGGCAAAAATCATGGAAGGTTACGAGAGGTCAAGGTTGAAAACCATGGAGACCATGTCACATGTTCTTCAGAATATTCAGGATGTGAGTCGTTGTTGGACCGCTCGATGTCGTTGTTGTTGCTGTGGAAGCATGTTTTTGTTGGCGATGTTGTTTTGTGAGTTGATTTTTTGGTTTGCTTATTTAAACCACCCTCTATAAACCACCCCACCCCACCTACCTACCCCCAGAACAACTTGATACCAGACCCGTCACGTAGGGAGTACATCAGTCGTATGATTCGGGAGGGATTGAAGGAAGAGGACGAAGAGAGAGATGATTAACTAGTTAATTAATTCTATTTATTAACTAATTAACATCGATTAATTAATTATTTATTTTCATTTATTAACGATGGTTAATTAATTTCAAAATTATTTAATTCATTTTTCATTCTAATAAATTTTTATAATATTTTTTATTAATATTCAATGTTTATTATGTTATATTAATATTGATATACTATCATATAATATATGGTTAATATTCATAATAAATATGTAATTAATTGATTATATGATGTATAATTCCATATTATATAAATATTGAGACGGAATGATTTATTTATTGACTGAGCTTATATGGACATGAATATAATTGAATATAATTGATTCAATTGATTGATTGGTTGGTTGATTTGATTGATTGATTGAGTTACTGGCTGGCTGACTGACTGACTGACCGACCGACCGACCGACCGACCGACCGACCGACCGACCGACCGACTGTCAAGTTTATTATTTATTAAATTTAATTATTTAAGCTCTATGATTCATAGATTCATTTTTCGTATTATTATTATATGGCGCATTCGTTGGCTAATTATTATTTTTATTATTCTAATTGACATCTTAATAATTAATTTGATTGACTAATTATATATTCAGTTGAAAACAAATTAAAATTATCAACGATAAATATTGTTCAAGCAGCAATTGTGGCGTGTGGTTTGTTCCACGGAGATGGAAGAAGGAAGAGAAGAATAAAAGTTGATGTCATTTCGGTGTTGATGATGTCATGACGATGATGTGATTATGATGATGATGATGGTGACGGTTGTGGTGATGATGATGATGATGATGATGATGATGATGATGATGATGATGATGATGTGATTGTGATGATGTTGATGTGACGTTCGTGTCATTATGATGACGATAATGTGATGAGGTTGAAGATGATGCTGATAACATTATGGAATGACGTGAGGCTGATGACATGGTATGACGTAATGACATAATGTGATGAAGATAATGATGACGAAAATGATGATGATGATAACAATGATGATGATGTAGTGATGATTAAGATTATATTAGAATGATATTTTATTCATTGTACATAGAAAATTGACACACGCATACAAAATCTAGTTTGATAAATTTTATTAGGAAATTCACACTTTCGTTGATAATTAAAAATTATATAAATTATAAAACATAATAAAGATATTTATTAATATCAATATCATCACTATATATTTATAACGATACCAATGTTATTCTGATTAATATTATTTGTTGTATATATTTTCATTATCAGCCTTAGTACTACAATTTATAGCAAAGTGGTAGGCAAGGGATGGTTCCGGGACTGAGCCCCCCCCCACCGCAATAAAAAATGTTCTTAGGGCTCTATATAAATTTTTTAAAAATTTGATTTGAATATAAACTATTTCAGGCCCTACACCTACAATTAAATTAAGTCAAATTTCGGTCAAAAGTAATCACACACATGCAGACACACACATCTACACACCACACACACACACACACACACACACACACATATATATATATATATTTATTTATTAATGTATATATATACACTCATCTATATATATATATATATATATATATATATATATAATTCTTGAAAACTTACAAAGCATTTATTACATTTTTTCACCTTGATATAATTCCTCCTCGCTTGGAAATATTCACTATTGATATTGTTGATATTGATATCTCGTTGTTTATTGCAGTTGATTCTAGCTAGGAATAAAACTCCTTGTCAATAAAATTATCAAACAATCAATCAATCGATCGATCGTAAACCGGGGCGTTTGGGTTTAAATATTGTATCATACATCAGTTATAATTTATATATTATAGATTATTATTATAGATTTTATTTCTTGAATAATTTTCAGAAAATGCAACGACATGTGTGTTGCATGTGATAGGCCGGGATCTTTTTGCATCACCATCTGGTCGACACACAGTTATATAAACTAACTATAAACATTCGTTATGTTTTATACGTAAAGATAAAACTAAAGTTGACACGCAAATTTCATTTTCTTTGTTTCTTCTTATTATTGTTGTGCTATGAGCTTTTTTCAATCTTATCAATACACTGGCGAACAATGTATGACTCAGAAAAACTAAAATAGCAAAAAATACATAACGCATAAAAAAACTTCAAAAAGTTATATTAAAATTTAATTACCAAGACAACATGGAAACTTGAAAACTTATGTAACTGTTCAGATGACAATTATCGCTAATAATTAAAGAACATAAAAATAACAACAGCAACTATCTTAGAAACATTACAAATAAAATATTAGAATAATTAAATAAAATAAGCCGGCTGATCAGATTGTTTGGAATCCGAAGTTTTTTCACTTGTTAAAACAAACAAGGAAGTTATACTGTTATATTGAAGTTATATGTACTATGCGTAAACAAGTGAGCAGTTTTCTTAATAAAAGTCAGTAAAGCACATTTTTTAACAATAAAAAGCACAGTTTTGTGTCGAAAAATTGATCATAATTGGACGGAATAAACAAAGAAAAGGTTGTCAGCCACAACACTGCCACAAATTTGGCCCCGGTCAACCTTTTGGCCCCCTGCCGTGAAAATTTAAACATTGGCTCTCCCTATCAAAGTTTTCTAGATCGGCCACATCACACTCATACACACACACTGATACACACACATACACACTTACATACACACACACATCAAACACACACATAAATCTACTGGACAATCATTTTGAAAAAAAATTGAAGATTAAAAAAAAATTTTTTAAAATACCTAGGTGTATTTTACATCGCTAGGTAAACGTAACGATGCAAATTACACGCTCAGGCAGTCATATACACACAAGTAACATGTAGCACTGAAAACCTATGTTCATATTGGTACTATCAATTGGTATACAGAGTGAATGAATTCATTTAGACGGTTCATCTTAACCATTGGTGTGATTACCGTAGTAGATCTCAGCAGAACAATTTGCTCTTTAGGCATGTGCTTATACTGTCTATATATGCCTACGTGAGATTATATTATATGTAACTTATATGTATTTTTGTATAATGCTAATATGTTTTCTATATTTATTAATGTTTATATTTATAATATATTTAAAATAATGCGCTGATGTGAATGTAAGCGCCTATACAAATCTGAAAACGTGATGCGTATTGCATGAATGTTCGCGAATATAGGCATCGTTTATATTGTAGTATAAAAATAAATGTATTAAACATGTATATGTGTATATAAAGTCGTTAAAATTATAATACGCTAATAGTAGTTTTATCTCAGTCACATAATCTTTTGTGGAAATTGAACTGAAGTACATGTTTAAATGAACGTAGCAACACTATATATGGGTACTAGATATACTCATATATTTTATCTTTAACTCAGGATTATTAACTAAATGATTATGGATTAATTTCTTGCCTGGCTAATTGATTGATATCACAATCACGTTCGAATTATCATCGCTCGCATTATCATTTTTATAAGCACCATCTTCATCATCATTTTCCTCATCATCTTCATCATTATCACTAGCGCATCATCACCAAAACTTTCTGGTGTCACCAGCTTCTTTGTCGTCGTCGTCATCATCATCATCATCAGCAACATCAGCGTCGCGACAAAAAGTGGCTGAGAACAAAAAGTTTCCTTAAATAAAAGAGACATCAATCAGTCGGGAGGTTAATTGTAGGAGTAATTAATTATTTCACTAGTTGTCGCCTTGCTGATTGTCGTCTTGTTCGTTGAACTGGTAATAATCATCGAAAATGGAAATTGTGAATGAATGAATGTTTAAGCAAGTTTATATAAAATAAATCAAGTATCCATTTATTAGCGTTGAACGAAAATGGAATGCTGAAACAATCTAAAACAAACAAAAGTTTCATTTTATTAATTAAAAATTAAATACTTGGATTAAACAGTTGGACATTAAAAGCTTGACCGATCCATCGATTGATTGATTGATTGATGATAGATTGATAGATAGATTGATTGACTGATCAGCTGATAGATAGATTTGATTGAAAATTAGAAGATGGCGACAAGAAGAGGTAAAACACAATCAAGTCCAAACGCTTGGCCATCAGCCTCAAACAACGAGGATGATTTTGATGACGATGACGTTAGTATAACATGAATTTTTTTATAATGAAAATATGTTTATTTTCATAAAAATATCTCCTATTGTGAAATTTAGTTTGAAAAACAACAAAAAGTATTCAATTAAATTATTGATTGCCTAATTAATCAATTAATCAATCAATTAATAATATCATCGATTTTAATAAAAATAATTGCAGTACGATGACCCACATAACGGCGTATACGCAAACGCATTAGATTACAAGAGCATCAGACTACCCAAGAACAAAAGATTCAGCGAGTGAGTTCATTCATGTTAATTTGTGGGCATAATTATAGAGATGCGTTAAATTAATTTTTGATGACCTAGAAATATTCGTTAAAAACATTAAAAGCAGCAAGTTCTACTCTCGAACGTTGTACAGTCGAAAATCACTGATGGTTTTGCAGCGGTTCTCGTGTGTTTGTCTGTTAAGCGAGTTGAGAAAATATGGCTTGTTCAATATTTGGATGCCGCAATAAATGAATAAAAAAAGACTTGAGTTAATCACAAAGTATTTATTGATTTTTTAGTTTAGGCATCGTTATGGTCTAGTGGTTAAAGGCCCCTGGTCCTGTTTCGTAGTGTGTGAAGTGACCTGGTTCGAGCATGACAAAAGGACCCACTCTTATTGCATAACTTGTGCGTGAGGGATGCTTTGTTTGCACTATTTCTATTCATGTACCATGTTTGTGTATTGCTGATTCCTCTTAACTTTGGAAGAGTGCAAAAGTCCATTGACCTTTAACCTTTCATAGATTGATCAATAGCTTACCATAGTTTTATACCATTTAATCTTCATTTAGTTTTAGAGCAGATTAAGCAGAACTTCAGCTCAGGTGGTCTTTTTTGAAAAATGTACTTTAAAAAACGAAGATAATAAAAAAGCAAAAACAATAAATTGATGAATTAAAAATATCAAAATAACAATTTTAAAATATTAGAAATTTATAATTATGTTTACGAAAGCTTTCATTCGTTACCAAAAGCTTGCAAACAAGTCGATTTAAAATTTTTTATTTAGTTTCCTTTCGCTTTCATTATTTCACAGCTTATTAAAAATTAAATTAAATAATATATTATAAATTTTTATATTATAAACTATGCAATTATGACATGTTATATTAATGATTAATTTATAAAAAAGCAAAACTCAAAGATTGGAAGAGAGAGTGAGAGAGAGGGAAACCCAAAGAGACAGAAAAAGGAGTAAAAAAAACCACATCCACACTCTGTATATCAAAACAAAACAAATAATAGATGTATTGAATTATTTTTGTAAATTATAATGTTATATACCTGTAGTGTAGATAGACAGAGGTTTTGCTCATTTATTCATTAAGATGCAGTACTTGATGTTGATCTTTGGTGAAATCTATCGTCAATCTCTAAATAAATGAAATTTATAATTTTAAAATAATACAACTTGCAATCAATATGAAAATAAAAATTCTCACTTGAAACAGATTCTGCGAAAAAGACACAGAAACATTCATCCTTTCCAAGCCAGCAGCAGGTGATCCCAAATTCGAATATGAAGTCATCGTTAGTTGCTCCTGTTTTGTTGTTATTTACAGTCTTTGCACTGTAAAATGTTCAAAATCATTTTTGCTATCCATCATTTAGGGGCCAATTAATCATATAATCAAGTATTTGGTTTAAATATTAGTAGCTCAAAGGCAAAATTTAATGACTTTCAATTCAAATTTTAATTTTTTCTCTCCAAACAAGTTGAAACAAGACATCCCCACCTGGGCTGATCCCAAAGAGAAATACACCTGCCAGGTTATTTCTGTGAAGAAGGAGAAGGCAATGTTAGGCATAAAAACAAACCTCGTCTACCAGCTGATTCCAACTGTAAGTTCATTCAGTTTTTCACTGTTGTTAAAATAATGTTCAAATTTAATGTGAATTTTGGTTTTGCTTCATCATCAATATCATTAATGAGAAAACTAACGCTAATGATATCAGCATGTTCCATCATCTAAAGAAGCAAACAAACAAACAAACAAACAGTTCAGCAACATCCAAGTCAGCAGGAAGATCAGTCAGTTTGAATGGTTGAACCAGAAGTTGTCCTGCAAGTTTTCCATGGCATTCCTTCCACCTCTGCCTGATAAGAGAGCCATCCAGCAATGTGGTAAAAACTTTTGCTTTCCTCATTATTTATTTAACATAGGCTTTTTGACCAATCAGAAGATCATTTTTAAATATGATTTTATTGGCTGACCAATCAAAACAGCTGATTCAAAAGATGATGAAACAGAATGCAAGCGACAACTTCTACAGAGATGGGTGAACAGAATATCGACACACCCCGTCCTTAGCCAGTCCAACGTTTTCAGGGATTTGTTTCTCAGCACTACTGACGCCAAGGTCTTTACTTCCAGCTCTACATTCGTTCATGATATTTTTCCATTTTTCGATATAATGTTTATTAAATGTTAATATTTAACGTTTCAGTTTTGAATTTACTTGCATCCTTATCAAAGAGATTGTAGGTTATCCCACATTACATGAATTTATTTGAGATTGATATAGTGAATAACTCATTGCTTTACCTCTGAAGCAATACATCCAAATGTTGGTGGTTGCGTTGATTATTGTAATAATCATCATCACGTATGCACTGCACATGCATGCATAATAAAATGCCTACATACTACATTCACACATACTACATGCTTACACATTTCAATGCAAACACTCATTAATATCAGCAAAGAAACATACAGCCCAAAACATACAGTAACTTTAATAAAACCAATACACATAAACACACACACACACACACACACACACACACACACACACACACACACACACACATAAAAACACATACAAATAAACACACATAAACACACATGCACTTGTTAGAGATACTCAGATTCAAAGAAGTTATTCGACAAGGACCAGTATGTAGGTGGCCAATTCTTCTACCTCATAAAGGCACCCAAGGTCAACAGAGAGACATGGTGAGGTACACGTTTGTTTAATTCAAATTATTACCCATCTGTAGTTCTCTTAGCAAGGAAGGTCTGAAACGCACTGAGATGTACGTAGGCTGTTGTTGCGGGATAGTTGGCTCAGTTTAATTTTTTGAAATTATAGGTTGTTGGGATGTGTTTCGGATTGTTGTATCATGCCTGCTAAGAAATGGGATGAGGAATTGAATGAAAAACGTTGAAAGCTATGAAATCCTGGAGATTTTGGGATTTAGGACAGGGATAATATTAGGATATCTGTAGGTTTAGGTGGAGTGAGCTATGAGAGAAAGTTTAACTAAGTAAGAAGATGTTTTGTTTTTGAAGATCAGAAAGTGATGACAGACTTGGTAAGCTTGCATGGCACCCATCTTGCTTGGGAGAAAGAGTTGGGAGGTTTGCCAAGATCTCTATGCATCTCTAATTAATAATAATGATATTAATAAATTAATCTCAATTAATTGGTTGATTGTATAATTAATTTGTTTAACGGTCCAATTATTAATTTAGCAGTTATTTGTATAAACTGATTGTTGTAATGCAGTGAGAAATTACTGGATCAGTTTGTTTCATTTACAAAAAGTATGGAGAACTCATGTGCTATTTTTGAAGAGACGTCTTCCTCCTTTCTCAAGAGCCATGTTCTTTGTTCGTTTCTACTTTAATTATCGTGTGTGTGCGCGCGCGTGTGTGTGTGTGCGTGTGTGTGTGTATGTGATGGTGTTAAGATAATGATGTCACAATGATGTGGCGATATTAATGCGATGATGTTAATCTAATGATGGTGTTATTAGGAAATGTAATTTATTAGAATAGAAAGAAGAATTTGCTTATGTCCGCCAATAACGACATTGGCGGTGAGGAAGGAAATAGTTAATAAATTATTAATCATATTAGTGGTGATATAAGCTGATGACGTGATGTTTTTAATGATGATGAAAATGATGATTGCACTGATTGGAGGATAGTGAAGTTGATGATGGTGCCAATGATAATTAATATAATACAATTAATACGAACATCATCCATCCAAATCATTACTCCACTTGCCGCTCTTGTGGATGTTTTCATTCATTCATTTATCTATCGAAACATTTATTCATTCAACTCTTCATTAATCGATCCATCCATTATTTATTTATTTATACACCTTTATATTCTTCCATCCATCATTCGTTCATTCTTCATTCTTCCATCCAACATTCAATCAATCAATCAATCAGCTGTTGAAAAGCAGTATGAGAAAACAGCCAATGCATTTGCATCCCTGGCACAAACTTTTGAATTGAACACTTTAGATAGTTAGTTAAGAGTGGATAGATAGATGGGTAGTCAGATGAATGGATGGATGGATAAATAAATGGATTAGTCGGGCTGATTGAATGAATGGATGGATCTACTAATTTTAATTTTGAATGAATGGAAAAATCTCAACTAACTACTTAACAGGAAGCAACGAACTGGCAGTCTTGTACAGGGAGGTTGGAAAGTTGTACATCGATTCTGCTATCCTCTTTCGTAAGAAGGTGCGTTAGTTGATTGATTGATTGACTGACTGGCTGATTGGGTGATTGATTGGTTGATTGACTGGTTGATTGACTAATACTGCTCACCTACACCCTCACCTACCCAGCTACGTGCCTACCTATCTACCTACCTACCTACCTACCTACCTACCTACCTACCTACCTACCTACCTACCTACCCATCTACCTAATATATACAAAAGGGTGCCTCACAGTTTCAATGCACTGATTGCAGACTTGTTATTTTTACTTGTTGCATATTGAGTATGAAATTCATTTTTTGGGCATTTTTTTACATTTCTTCATAATCAGAAATTTTTATTGTTTCTGTCCAGCATGAACTCACAATTTAGATGCAACTACTTCGGGTTGTTATATACGTTATTGATGTTAATATTTGAAAGTGCGTTGGTGCTACAAAGTCCCTACTTGCAATAATTCGGGAGTACAACTCCATACTGAAGAATGTGCCAGACATCATGATTATTCAGAAAGTTAGTTGGTTGGCTGATTGGTCGGTTGGTTGGTTGGCTGGCTGGCTGATTGGTTGTTTGGCTGGCTAAAAAGATCGGTTTGTTGGGTTAGTTGGTTGGTTGGCTGGCTGGGGGCTGGTTGGATGGATGTTTTGTAGGCTGGGTAGTTGATAAATTGTTAACGTTATGTTATATTGTTTGATCATTTTAAAACGTTGTAATTTTTATTTCAACAGTTTACAAACCCTGTAAACATTATTTCATGTCAATCAACTGATGTTAACATTAATTACCAACGCCAAACAAATGACTGAACCTCAAACAGACAGCCATGCAGAAGGCTTCCTCAAAGAAGGGCAACCTGTCGGAGCAGGAGGAAAGTGAGATGAACGACAGAGTGAATGTTGTGACGGCCACACTGGCTGCAGAGGTTACCCACTTCCACAAGGAACGTATCGAAGATTTCAACGACATCCTCATGGAATATTTAAAAGATCAGCTGGAGTATCACGAAGGGGTGAGTGATGTTGGTTTGTACGCCATCGTTTAGGCACGTGCATCATATTATATTCTTTATTCAATGATTATTGTATTCGTTGAGAAAGACATGCTTACTTAGCGGCTTGAATTTATTTCATCGATTTCAGTTTTATGCCCTCCTGTATATAATTTATATATGGGGGATATAACCTACCTACCTATCTATTGTATACCTTGTACGGCAGCACCTTAATGTTTGTCTTTCATTTAGGTATCGAAGCAGATCAAAGGAATTCTCAGTACCATAAATGTGAAGTCATCGAGGTCGAGGATTAAAGTCTGAACTCAACTCTTAAATCTTTTTTTTCTTTATCTAATCATTTCGCAAGTTTTTCAATAAATGTAAATTTAATGAATCATTTTTTGTAATTGTATATATTTATATTTATTGTTTTTTTTTTTTATAAAATTTTTAGTTTCATCAAATTTTGATGATGATATTTATTATTATTATCCCCAATTTTTGTTGTAAATGTTGATGAAAAATATTTTTGATTAACGTCACCAGTATATGGAGCAAATTTGTGTTGTTCATTTTTTATTTGTAAATTTTTTGATTATCTGAAATGATATTTATATTTTTTTAATTATATATATATATGTCTTCGTAAAACAGTGCTCTCAACCGATGCATTTATATATTGAAATTAACTAATTTTTTTATTAACAAAAGATCGAACAATCTTACTTTTAATAAAGTTAAAATTGAATCACAGTTGACGCGTACGACTCATTTGCTGATTTTTCTGTTGAAATATTATCACTTATTAATTTCAACGTAGTAACTTAGCTATTAGTTATAACCTGCAAGAAATCGGGTCGTGGTGTCCTGATTGATAGGTTTCACCAGCCAAATTTGGACGGACGGATCAAGAGACGAAATTTCGAGAGGTGATTATAGCAGGATGATTAAGCCGACGCAAGATCATTGGTTGGAGTCATGACCTATGACTGCTGATATATATTCGTTGTATGTAAAAGTGGTGTCATGCAGAGTTGCTAACGCTACTCATAAAAAAGAGCGCCGCTACTGTAAGTGAAAAGTAGCGCCGTTATCTCTGCTTTAATGAAAATGTACATAATTTTGTCTCATGTTTTTTACTTCCGTACGAGAATTTTTGAAAGTCGTCTCGTTTGAACAACGATACGAGAAATATCGTATCGTTTTAAAATCTCGATTCATAACGAGAATAACGATTCGAGATCTAAACCCTTGGTTGAAATAATTTATATGTGTGTTTCTAAAACATTTATGACTCCATAAGTTCTATTTACTTTGCTTTACAGATACGTTTCTTTATTTCTTTTCCTCTTCAGTTAGCTGGACAAGAGCACGTGCATTGCACCTTTTTTGTTGCTAAGACTGGCTTAATAAAAGTTCAGTCTGTCCGTTATAAATGGCAAAAACACCCAGCACATATTCAGTGTCTATTCTAAAGGCGGTGTCTCTAAATAAAAATAATAATATAGATGTTGATTTACATGTCAAAACAGTTGATTTATAGGTGAGTTTGCATTCTTGGTAGAATAAAATTAACGTGACTGCTATTTGTTCTGCATTTGTTCTAATTCTATTTTTGATATTTCGCCACGCTCGCTTTTGGTTAGTTCATTTTTGTTTGATTTGCGGTGACAGTAAAGTTTGTTGAACAGAAAAAGAAAATTAATAAATAAAATATAATAATAAACTCTGCTACTTTTGCTTTTGCACTGGAACCAGCTAGCTATATATTTGAAAAAAGAAATAGATTTTGCAGTTTTTATATTTACGTTCAGGATTTTATCAATTGTTACTCGATTCTGAGACATGACGGACATTTTGAATTTGCCAGACCTCCTCAAAAACTTCCCAACTCATCTTTTTCATTTCAATTGTTAACTCAATCGGTTCTGAAACGTTTAGCAGACCTCACATGCTTAGTGTACGTAGATGGCATCACTTGTTTTTCGAGCACTTAAATTATCTCAAATTTAGAGCAGCATCAGTTATTCATTCTTTCATCTCCTCTTTCATCTTATCTTTCCATCAATTGCGAAATAATTCCAACATTTACTTAGCGTACATAAACGCAACTATCGAATGCAGAGCATATATAATAATATGTAATGTTCACACAGACACACGCATGGATATGGATATATATATATATATATATATATATATATATATATATATATATATATATTTGTACTCAGAAAGTGCAATATATTATTGTTTTTGATTTTTGCCAAAAAAAAAATTACAAAACTTCTTTTACATCTTGTCACTTAATCACAACATACTTTTTTTCTTCAGAATTGCACGTGAACAGAAAACATGGAATGCTATCTGTTCCATTTATGTTAATTCAAGTTGCTTCCATGTTGTGTTGAGTAGTAATGCAATGGGCATTTCTTTCCACCACACACGACAACGGTTATTTAACGATAATCTATTTAACCAAGCTTGACTCCATTTAGTGAATTTAGTTAATTGCTGAATGTAATATTAGTGCTAAATGTTTTTGTGTGAGTGTTTGTCTGTGTCTGTGTTTGTCTGTGTCTGTGTGTGTATGTCTGTGTGTGTATGTCTATGTGTGCATGTTTGTGTATATGTGGGCGTGTACGTCTGCGTGTTCATGTCTGTGTATATGTGTGGGTATGTCTGTGTATGTATGAAAAATATTATCCTGGCTTATATAAAGTAAACGCCGAACATAAAGATGGATTTATTTCATTTATAAGATTCCCTAGATATATTATTCATCAGGAATCCATACTCAGCTCACATAAAATTTGTTCAGCTAGTAAAAAAATCTATTTTTTCTCCAAAAACAAAAATGTTTACATCAACGTATGCTAAAATAAGCCGTCATCGTCATCATCACCGTCATCATCATCATAACATGCATCATCATCATCATCGTCATTTCACTTCACGCAAGCAGCAGTTCTGGTTATGACGTCACTGAAATTGCGATCGCCTATTGGTTGAGCAGTAGGTGTGTCGAAGGCAGGACCAATAGGAGCTAGACTTGTATGTAAGATGAAAACATACGTGAATAACATACATACAATAATAACTGAACCATAGTACATAAAAATACACAAATATATATATATATATATATATATATATATATATATAATCATTTTTGGATAAATGTATATATCACATAGATAATTAAATAACCTTATATATGAATAATTAAATTAATAAATTTCTATATTAAGATAGGTATGATACAATTGTAGTTTTGATTACTTATATGAAACATGTTCAGAAACAATATATGAGTAAATACGATAATATTATAATAATGTTATTACTATATATATATGTGAATAATTGCGTATATATTCACATATAAGTATATGTGATTTATACATACACATATAAAAATAAGCTTTTGTACGAAATTCAGAGAGTTGGATTTAATAAGCTGTATGAGTAAACAAGTTCAAAGTCATGTTATATAAATAGATATGTATTATATATATACGTATATATATAAACGTATATATATATATATATATATATATATATATATATATATATATATATACAAACAGCTTAAATATGGTACTGTATACAATGTTTACTGTATACAATATGGTATTATCTCGAAAAAGCTAGAATATTAAAGTCTTAAATAGCATTCATTTGTGTCATACACATACAGAGCATCATCTTTACATTTTGTTATCGGTTTGAGAATTTGTTATAAGGTGCATTTAGAATGGATTAGAGGTTTATAATTTGGAGGTTTAGTGATATTTTTATTAAAGTTTTTGATTTATTAGTTTATTATTTATCAGTTAATAAAGGATTAGGGATAATAATTAAGGATTATTTTTTATCAGGTTTTCATTTATTATATTATTAACCCATCGCTAATTAACCTGTAAAATTAACTTTTAAAACATTTAATAAAGAAAAATATGCTACGTTTGGATAAGGTGTGAAAGTAACTTATTTAAATTTATTTTATTTGATTATTTATTTATCAAATTATTTTGTCTCGATCGATCGAAAATTTATAATGTTTTTAATTTAATTAATTTCAACGTTCTTCCCTAACTTAATTAATAGAGTTACTTCCAAAGTTTCTACCTTGCTTTCTTTTTTTAATTTTCGTTTTTTAAAGTTAATTTTTAATTTTAAATTAGCTCCTCAACATAAAAAAGTGGTAAAAATATGCTATAATTAAGTTAAAAAATTATTTAATTATTCTAAAGATAAATATATTTTTATAAAAATATAAAATTATAAATCTTAGTGATTGTTATGATAATTGTTAACAAAAAAATTTTTTTAGATCAGATGCTAACTTTCACTAGAAACAACATCTCATCATTGGCCAGCAACAGCAGCAGCACTAAGGAAATGTGGGAACTGCCAAAAGTGACAGAGGACATCAACGACATCGACCTGCCTTTAAATTTTGACTGCGACGACATCTTTAATAATTTCACTGTACCAATCTCAACAGTTTCCGCAGCATTTGTTCCAGCAGGCAATCAATCTTCCTCCTCCATATTAGCTGCCTGTTACAACTTTGCTGATGCAGATGGTATTAACAACATTGTCACAGAATTATTCAACACTGATGAAGTTGCTATGGTTTGTGCATCTAATAATAAAATTGTTAGCATTTATTATTCGTTATGAATTTATCATAAAATGGTTTTAATAGTAAAGAGCTAAATGGTTTTACTAAAATTTTAAAACTTTTATTTTGAAGAGTTTTGAGGTGCATCAACTTTGTGGGTGAGGTCAAGCAGCTGATGACCTTTGTGGCATCACAATAATAAATATTTATATCTGTTTGAATAGAATTTTTTTCTTAAAAACCGGTCAGACATTTTTTAAATTGGACATATTAAAAAAACAGTAAAAAAAATTAAAATTAAATTAAACAAACTTGTTATTTGATAAAACATAAGATTAAATTTATTAAATAATCAATCTTGTCAATTTGAAATTCCTCTGTACAATATAAAGTGAAAACTGTGTGTTTATAAAGTGAAATATGAGCACACATACAAATATTTATTTATTTGATTTTTGGTTTTTATATAATTGATTTCTTCTGCAGAATAAACTATTAATTAACTCTGCTAAAACTCATGGAAAGTTCAAGTAGCTAATGTTAAATTAATGTTGTTATCCATGCAATCAGAACTTTCTTATTTTTCAGAATATTCTAAAACTTTCCAGAGAAAAGGAAGAAAGAAAGAAAGAGATAATGAAAGGGAGAGATATAGAGCGATAGAAAGATAGATAAAGAACGAGAATGAGTTATGAAAAAGAAGTATGTTTTAAATTTGTTATTTCATTACCTGGTGTAGGAAAACAGAGATAGAGTTTAATTTTATTTACTGCAGAATTTCATCTGATGTAAACCCACCTGCTATCTTTTTTTTATGCAATTCAACAACAACTCATCAACTTAACATTTGATTTGATATATTTATGTAATGAAAATGAAGTCAGTGATGAAGCCAATTAATTTATGACTGATATTTCACTGGTCAAAGTCAAACTTCAAAGTGTTGTTAACACTCTGCTGACTGAATATGCACGCATGCATAATCGCATTGGTGGTTGTTATGTACCGTCTTAGGATTGTTCAACTTATTTATGTAGTGTTCAGACCGATGTGCAGCTACACTTCTTTTGCTTGGTTAGAAATCTTCACACTACTGACAACCATTTTGTTTCCTCCCGATGACAAACTCTAAAGTAAGATATGCTTAAACTGCTGGCAAGATTTGAATAAACAGAAAATGCTGGAGCTATATTCATTTATGAATGGCATATAATTCAATTCGATTCAATAGATGCTGCTTTTTTAAAAGCTTTTAAAACGAAAAAAATGTTCAATTTGTAATATATGAAAAGAACTCATTAAATGATTAAATGCGTATATGTATATATTAAGTACAGAACATATGCAATATACATCTAAACATAATAAAATAGCAGACCAATAACAATCAAGTTTTCCTCTCCTAGTTTAAGCATTGCTATAGCAAGCACGCACACACCATGCAAAACACTAAGAAAGCTCCATGACCTAAATGCATACATTACCTGGTTGTTTGGTTGGTTTTTGTTCAGGTATTTGCCTCAGGATGCCTCCATGTTATTTGATCCAACTACTAATGAATGATATGATGGTCTGTTATTTTCCACGAGATTTCTACATTGAGTTTGGTACAGTTCACTAAAGTTTGTATGAATAATTATGAGCATCGCATTGCGTGTATGTATATATGTTACATTGTTATGTTAACAAATATAAAGTATGCTGTAAAAGCTGTTGAAAAGGTGGTTATACTTGTGGTTATACTTGTGATGTTATACGAATGTTGCCCTATACTTCTGCTTCATATCTCCGTGTTTGTGATGTGGTTTGTCTTTTGATGTTTGTGGTTTGATGTGGATTATTTTTCTAAAAGTTTCAACGAACTTGAAAAAGTTTATAGTGAGTTTCTGTTGTGTCGTAGAAAGATTGTGTGTGGGAAAGGATTGAAGATAAATAAGAGAGAGAGAAAGAGAGAGAGAGAAAGAGAGATGGGGTAAGGAGAGAGATGGAAAAAAGAGATAATACATGAGTCTACTACTTAAGGATTTTCTTGTTTTATTTATGAGTTTTTATTTTTATTAGCCTACATATAGGGTTACATACCTAGATACTTATATATATATATATATATTTTATGTGTTTGTGTGTATGTGTGTGTGTTCACGTGTGTTAATAAATGGAGTCATGAGTGGGAATGTTCTGTACATGAAATGGATAAATAATTACGCACATCCCAAACGATGTTGAGCTTATTTTCTGCCAACCAAGCAACCCAGATTTTATTTTAAAATTTGTTCTTTGTATCTGATTAAATTTTTTTTATCACATTGCTCCAGGTAGTCAGTGGTATGTAATAAGCAAATTATCCCTAAATAAATCCCTCCCAAGCGAATTATCACCAGATAATTAACCTGGAATATGTTATCCTCTTGCTACCATTTTAAGACCAACTGATTGTAACCATTTAATGATGTCACGCTGGTCCACTTTTTGTGTGGTTTTGTTGTTGGGATGCAGTCAGTGTATCCTAGAGTTGGTTGATGTTGTTGGTTTTCTCATATGGAGATAATGTGGTATGTATTGTGATTCTATGGACTTTTAAAATCTAGACTTTGTGTATCTGAGAAGAATTTTTTAATTTTTTTAGTTTCAGATATAAAAAAGCTGTAAATTTTTTTAGATATATAAAATTTGTTTGTAACTTTTTATTATTGGAAAAATATTTTTAAAATATTTATAAAATTAATTATAAAGACATATTCAGCAATGAATAGAATGTTAACCGTTATAACTATCGCAACAACCACTCCTCAGAGTACTTACAGAGTTGGATACTTGCACTAAAATATTAAAAGTACCAGCATTGCATTCATTATAATTCCAAGCAGTAATATCAAGTAGTAGTCAGCAACTGCCCTCGTGTGATTTTTGAGAAAAATTGTCATTTAAAAGCATTTACAACCGCTATTATTAAATTTATATGCACTGAAACTAATAGTTTAATTCATCACTCATGCTGATGACATGAATAGCATCACTTATTAGCTTTATAAATTGTACTGAAAAGATTTTAACGCCTGGTGTGTTAATTGTTATTGAGCTGACAATTTTTCAACAACTTTTTATACAATGGTGATTGAAATCTTATGTTTAGAAGTATTGGAGTAGCAAGAACTTGACTGGTTTGTTATGCCCTGCTGCTGAATGATGACAATTATATGGTGATTGTTAATGATGTTATCAATAATAAATTATGATGATGTTTAGTAGGCGATAGGTGGTATACTTTTAATTAAAACTGCTTAACCATTAACAAATAACATAATCACCTTCACAAAGAATTCCGGATCAGAAGAATGCAGCTGTAGTGGTAGCAGTCCTAGCCACAGCAGCGATCATTATTACCAGGATGGTAATCATCGTAGCAGCAGCGGCCACAACCACCACCAACATCAACTGTGTGTGGTTTGTGGCGACAGTTCATCTGGCCTGCACTATGGTGTGCTGTCCTGTGAAGCTTGTAAGGCGTTCTTCAAGAGGACTGTGCAAGGTATGTTAGTCAGTTAGCTAGTCAGTTAGCTAGTTAACTAATTAACTTGCCAGTTAGCTAGTTACTTAGCTAGTTAGCTAATTAACTAGTTAGCTAATTAGCTAGTTAGTTAGCTAGGCTAGCTAATTAGGCGCATTTATTTTTACCTTCATGCCTACATCTTTTTTTATTTGCATTTATGTATTAGTTTTTTTGTGGGTTCTCCATCTGTGTTTGCGTATAATTGTGCATGTGTGGTGTTTGTTTGTTGTTCACCCACATGTTTGTATATAATGTTTTCTAGACTATGACTTTTTTATGTAGTTGTTGTTGGTTTATGACCTGATTGGGTTTGTGAAAATTATTTGGACATGTGTTCGGTTGAGTTTATTTATCTCTTAATTTTATCATTTTCATCAACCGCCTATCTTCCTGACCACCACACTACCAGCCAACGTGTCTTACTCTAACTACTTCCTTATTTAAACCTAGTTTAAATAGTTGAAACACAAGAATATATCGTTAATCTGCAATTTATGTTTGCATATATATATATATATATATATATATATATATATATATATATATATATATTTATATAATTGTTTGCTTTATTTGATAAAATGGAACAATCTTTTCTGGAATAGATTGGATGTTTTGTTCTTTTCTATAGCACGTTTCATTTTGAAGACTGTTGTTTTCTGGAGGGCCAAATATTATATATGAGGCAATGTTTAAACGAAATATGCAATTGCACATGTGGCTCCAGATATACATGTTAATGAACGTGAATGTACGTTTGTATAAATGTGCATATCGACGAACTATGAAACAAGCAGATAAATGAATGAATGAATGAATAAATGAATGAATGCATGAATGAATGAATGAACGAACGAACGAACGAATGAATGAACGAACGAACGAACGAATGAATGAATAAATGAATAAACGAATGAACGAACTATGGAACCAACAAATGAATGATTGAGTGTATGCAGAATGATTAGTTTGTTAATAAGAATGAATGTTTTATATGTAAATATACTTATACATCATTGCATTCCAACAGTAATAAATAGGTCATTCACTTATTAAACTACTACAAAACCATATCTTTATTACTATTTGCGGTTAATATCTTGCTGAATTAATTTATTTTAAGTTTTTTTTTATTAAAACCTGTCACTACTTTCGCCCATACTTTATTACTATCCCTTAAACTTTTATAAATTTTCAATACTTTCACAAATAGTGAGTGTCGCGTCAATTTTTAGTATTATTACAACTAACTGTACTAAAATAACTGTCTATTAGTGCTCACCTATTTTATTATTGTTATTATTATTATTGTTATTATTATTATTGTTATTATTATTATTGTTATTGTTATTGTCAAATGATAATGAGTAATAGGGTTTTATCGTATACTTGATTATTTTTTATTAGTATTTTATCTGGATTTTTATTTGTATATATATTGAATATTGTATTATTCTGTATGTTTTATGATATTTGATTGAATAAAAGAAGTGTTCCCATTATAATAAAAACAAACAATATAAAATAATTTTTTTCGTTACCACACGGGCAGGCAACATTCGCTACGTATGCAGTAGTGATGGCAAATGTGAGATAACGAAGAAAGCCAGGAGGTCGTGTCCAGCGTGCCGGATGGACAAGTGCCTGACCATGGGCATGCTTAGAGAAGGTTCTTCCTTATTAGTTTGTTCGTTTGCTTGTTTGTTTGTTTGTTTGTTTGTTTGTTTGCTTTTCGTTTTGTAATTATTTATTGTGAGTGTACTTTTTCGCAGAGTTTTTTTTTAAATTTCTTGCGCAGTTACATCAATAGATTTCTTTAATAATATGATCAAAAAATTAGGTGCCGGCTACTAAATAAATTTAATGATCAATTTTTGGCGATTTTTTTACTATTAATTCAGGTTAGGTTTCGTATAAATTCAACTAAGTAATGTAATTAATTAAGTAATATAATTTATTATTATTATTGTTATTGTTATTGGTGTGTTCGCAAAAAGATCTCAGAGATTTATATCAAAGTTCTTTTTAGTTACAGATATAATTATGTAAACGATTAAATTTTTATTCTAGTTAAAACTTAACAAGAACGTTAATTAGTCACAATTTCTTCAACAATGACGTCAAATCAAATTTATGGACAATTTTTCATTAGTGGACCGCGATAAGCAGGCCTCCATCTTAAAAAAACTGTAATGATGAATATATATGTTAAAATATATAAATATATACGAATTCAAAGGCTGTCTAGGAAGATATATGTTGGTTAATTGTCGTTGGTCTCTCTCTCTCTTTCTTTCTTTCTCTCTCTCTTCCTCTTTATCTCTCTCATATTGGGTATGTGTGTTTGTGTGTGTGTGTGTGTGTGTGTGTGTGTGTGTGTGTGTGTGTGTGTGTGTGTGTGTGTGTGCATTTGTGTATGCTCAAAAGGTCACACCACTCAAACACACATCTCATTCATTCGTCATTTATATGATTATATGACGAATATGGTGTGTTTAATGTAATTAAGAGAGCAAATCAAATTAAAACATTTCTGCCAGCTTAGAACAGTTTAAAAAAGTTGGAAAAGCGTGTTAAATTCTATCCTGAATATATTGCTTTGCTGTGGTGGAGAAATTAATTTATTTTGTTTTTAAATTATTTACTTTTGCTGTAGTTTTCAGAGGCAGATTCAGATTGAGACTTTGGTTCCATTCATTTTTAAGGAGCATTTTCAATAAAATTCTTTTTTTTATTTGCTGAAACATCATTATTTGTATCAAGTGTCTTTCAGCAGGCATGTGTATGCAAATTTATTTTTTTTGTTTGTATGTTGTGTATTTGTTGATTATATTAAAAATTTTATTTTTGGCATTCACGCGTTTCTTTTCTTTTTTCTATTTATGTTTTTGTTTTAGTATTTTTGGTTCATCTTTGTTGTCATGTTTGTGTTGTTCCATTCCAAATTTCTTTTTTTGAGTACATTTAAATTTTGTATTATTTTATCTTTAATGAAAATGTATTCTCAGTTAGCCATGTTTTATTCATCAGCTCATTCATCCGATCATTCATTCTTTAATTTATTCTATTTCATTTGATCATTCATTTATTCATTCATTCGTTCGTTCGTTCGTTCATTTATTCATTCATTCATTCATTCATTCATTCATTCATTCATTCATTCATTCATTCATTTATTCATCCATTCATTCATTCATTCATTCATTCATTTATTCATTCATTGCTACTTACTGTTTGTTCCATTTACTTGCTTATGCTAATGCTCTTTTAGTTGTGGCACCTTTGAGGATGATGATGATAATGATGATGTTGTTGATGTTGACAATGATAATGTAAATGACAACGATGGTGATAATGTTGATGACATTTTTGTTGAATCTGGTGTCCACCTGTCTATTGAAATGTCAGCTAATTATAGTATGATAATGATCTTACATTTTAATACCTCATTTAAATTATAATATGATAATGAACTTCTGAACATGATGCCTTCTTCGCACACACGTCAGGTATTCGTCAGGACAGACACAGAGGTGCCAAATTGAAGAACCCTCGTTCTGCCTATGCCTTAGCTAAGTTGCAGCAGCAGAAGAACAAGAAAAATATGGCCAATGAGAATTCCGGTTGGTTAAGTGGGTTGGTTATTTAGTTTGTTGTTTGGTTAAATGATTGGATAGATATGTCTATCTGGTTGGTTGATTAAGCTTTATGACTAAGTAGTGAGTAACCTAAGCAATCGATCGATCGATCGATTGATTGATCGATTGATTGATTGATTGATTGATTGATTGATTGATTGATTGATTGATTGATTGATTGATTGATTGATTGATTGATTGATTGATTGATTGATTGATTGATTGATTGATTGATTGATTGATTGATTGATTGATTGATTGATTGATTGATTGATGGATGGATGGTGGATTGATTGATGGATGGATGGTGGATTGATTGATTGATTGATTGATTGATTGATTGATTGATTGATTGATTGATTGATTGATTGATTGATTGATTGATTGATTGATTGATTGATTGATTGATTGATTGATTGATTGATTGATTGATTGATTGATTGATTGATTGATGATACGATTCGTTGTTCTTACGTTGATCACATTCATCATCATCGCAGTTGAATCTCTGCTGAACACTCTCGTCTCCATAGAAACGGAACCCCTGGAAATACCAGCTGACGTCATCGAACGGTCATTAATGACTCCTCCGAACTCGTCTTCGTCATCATCACATTCATCATTGGCTTCATCACCGGGATTTTCGTCGTCATCGTCGCCATCAATCCTGACATCTCTTCTCTTAAGAACGAGCGCGGTTTCAAGTTTTCCGACCAATCGTATTGCCTTCTTAAACCGCCTTGCCACCCTATTGGACAGAGAGATGGTCCTCATCATAAGCTGGGCGCGCAAGTTGCCCGCATTCTCCAAGTTCAGCCTCGCCGACCAGATGGCACTGCTGCACGCTACCTGGCTCGAGTTGTTGAACATCCGCATCGCCTACCGATCGGCTCTCCACCACCACCAGTGTCTCCAGCGCGCCAAAGTGGTCGGGAGAGATGTGGACGGGGAGGAGGAGGAGGGGACTGTCGGTGGTGCTGGTGGTGATTGCTACAACTGTGCCAAGAACATATCAGCGCTTAATAGCACAGCAGGCGACATGTTTCTCAACAATGAAAATTATGGTATCGATGATAATAATAATAATAATAATTATGTCTATGGCGATGATATGATCTATAATCATGATAGTAATAATTTTAATGACGTTAATAAAAACACTCACACCATCAACAACAACAACAATAATAATAATAATATTTATAATAATAATAATAATAATAGCATAAATTATAAAAATATGAACAATAATAATTTTAAAGTTTATAATCTGCAATTGAAAGATGCTTCAAACGCCTTAACATCTATCAACTCCAACTACAACAACAACAACAACAACACTAATATTTATTTCATCAACGATATTACATACATCAGTAACAACAGTTCTGTTAACAATAACAATAGCAACGACAACAATTGCAATAGCAATAATAATAATAATAACAGTTATAACATTAATAACAATAATAATCTTAACAACAACAACAACAACAACAATGAAAGAAATCTACCTTACAAAGGTGAAGATGAAAAAATGAATACTTGTGTGGACGTATCCAACGCTAACAACAACAACAACAACTCTATTAATCGTAATCGTGACGTCATGAGCTGTGATAGTAACGATCACCATCATCGTCGTCATCGTCGCCATCAGATGCATCCTCACTATTATCACAAAGAAATTAAAAAGATAGTTTTCTCAGATCAGCTCATCCTCCCAACGTTGCGTTATAAAATACCTCAAAAATACGACGGTGATGATGACCGCGATGATGAGGTCATCTCATCATCGCGGTCGTCATCACTTCCATCCCCACTTCCATCCTCTTCATCATCATCTTCTCTGCCTTTCACCTACTACCTTCCGATGGAGATGCTCTCTTCCATGGGACTGGTCATCGACAAGATGGTCAGATTCAACGTCAGCAGGGAGGAATATGTCTTCCTCAAGGCCATACTCATGTTCGATTCAGGTAGGCCTGTTGTGTGTTTTGTAACAGTTCGCATTGTAGCGAATGGTTGGCTAACTTGAGGCCGCGCAAAACTGGCTTGTTCCATTCTGAGGTTGTCATGTAATAATCAGTGGATCAATTACATGGTTGCTATGTAGGGTATTTTCAATCCACTTCTTAATGATCTGATTTGAGAGGTATCACCTTACTTTTCTGTTCCTGTGATTCCATGCCGATGTATTATTCACATTTTTCTCTTCAAGTCGTCAAGAAACGATTGATCAATCACAACAATGATCTAGTGAATAATCTAATTCATTTCTTCCTAGTTGTTACTTTTTCAGTTTTTAATTTTTTTAGTTTTTTAATAAGTGATCTAAGCACCGAGGTATCCTGAGGTTAAGTTGTTATATAATAATTTATTACGCTCATGCTAATTTTTCTCCCAGGACATTGAACTTATTAAGTTTATATATGAATTTACTTCTATATATGCGATGTTTAAACCGAGTTTTGTAAGGTTAGATCTAGTTTTCGTCGGCTGGCTTATATTTTGTAATGCTGTATTCGCTTACGTGGTTTCTGCTACTTGTATTAATTTTCAAACAGCATTTATTTTTTTAAAACAAACAGACGTCGACAAACTACAGAACAGCAAATTAGTGACACAACAGAGAGAGCTATTGAGTGAAACCTTCCTATCTCACATAGCGTCTGCGCCACATCCACAACAGCCACCGCCACCAACAACCACAACATCTCCTGCGTTTGATCGGCAGCCACAACTAAGTTTAACTCAACTACTTGCATGCAACGACGCTAATTTGAATAGCAGAAGCTACACAAACAACAACACAAATGAAACTTCTACCAGCTCACACAACCAACAACAACAACAACAACGACGCTGTCGACAGCACAGAATCATGGACTTGTTGATTCTCTTGAGTGATATCAAACGCTGCTCTCTCATTGGTCAAAAATTCTGGAAAGATATCAAAGTTGAGGGCCTCGTCCAATTAAATCAATTGCTCTCTGAGATGATCGACCAATAGCATTTGTTGATTTTTTTAGATATATTTTCATCTGTTCAGTTTCATTGAAAAAGTTGTATATTTGAAAGCAAATATTTCTAACTAATTGTATATATCTATGTGCACAAATTAACGTTTTTGTATTTTTAACGATGCACCAGTTAAATGGTAATAATGATTGTGATAGCGAACGGTTGGCTCATCACCAGCTTTGATTGACTTTCAAACAGTAAAGCTGTCTCTATTATATTTTTAACATTAATCGTTGCTGCACCCACCACAACTTAATAGCACCTACATATTCCAAACTTTAATTATAACCTCTTGGAACAAATTTCATTCAAACTTCTTCGACAACTTACATTGCTCTTTTTAAGATTTTTTGGCAGTTGTACATTAGGATTAGGCGTATCTTAATACACATGCGCGCACACACACACACACACACACACACACACACACTCTGTTACGCTGTTACTGCTCCCTAAATACATTTCCACTACTTATCATCACCTCACCATTAGAATCCAGCATGAAAACATTACTTCAGCAGATGCGTTACCTGCATTGCTCTTGGTCCTACTATATTTTTTCAAAAATATTTCCACCACCACAACTTTAGCTACTACTGCTGCTGTTGCTGCTTTTGCTGTTGCTGCTACTACTACTACTACTGCTGCTGCTGCTGCTGCTGCTGCTCTTGCTTATGCCAATCGATTCTATTACCACCGTTTGCATCACTACTAGTTTACTAATATTGTTGCAACAACTGCCTATATTAATAATAATGATGTGTGTGTGTGTGTTTGTGTGTGTGTGTGTGTTACATTATCATTGTTGTTATTATCATTTAAATAGATATTTTTGATTTTATAATTAATTTGTTAACGATTACTGCTCTACTTTTTTGTTATTGAAGTAAGTTTATGTTATTAATAGTGTGTTATTATTACTATTATTATCATTATTATTATTATTATTTATATTATTATTATTATTATTGTTATTGTGTATGGTGTGTACAACACATCCATCACTTGAATCTGTTTTCGCTGGGTTTTTTTTTGCGTCCGTTGTTTTTAGCAATTTCTACGTCATTGTTGTTAATAGTAATAATTAATATTATTTATTGTTTTTGTTTTTGTTATTATTATTATTATTGTTATTATTATTATTGTTATTATTGCTATTGTTATTGACGTGTTCATTTTGTTATCAGCCCGGTAAGACTGTGATCCTCTACAGAATAATTCTTAAATACATCAATTACCCCTTATTATTATCATTGTTTGTATTATTATTTGTATTGTTATTATTATTATTTGTATTATTATTATTATTATTATTATTATTATTATTAGTAGTAGTAGTAGTAGTAGTAGTAGTAGTAGTAGTAGTAGTAGTAGTAGTAGTAGTATTTGTGTTTTTTGGCAAAATTGTTATCTTTTAACATATTATTACTTTATTTTATCGCGTCAATTTTTTTTTCTCTTGGCTTCTATTTAAAATGTAATTCAGTAGATGTTTGATTTGCAGACGTAGTATTTGCAGACGTAGTTCTTAGGCTTGTTGTTGTTGATGTTGTAGTTTGTTGTCGGTTGTTGTTCGTTGTTGTTCGTTGTTAGTTGTTGTTGGATTTCACAAAGTAACGAAATAACAAGATAACATTGTGTAACACGAGCACAACATTAGCAACAGAACTGCAATGGCATTCCCTTCTTATTTATCTTTATTGAAATAATCGGGCGAAATCTCCAGTTACCAGCCTGAAATAACCATCCATCCATCCACCTTCCGTCACCTTCTTGTTTGAACTTCTTTTATAACGGACGTGCAATTTTGATTTATCGCTGAGCATAATATTTTGTACTTATAAGAGGACTTAATGTATGTAACAGGCGAGTGAAGTTTACTTGAATGCGAATGAAGATTACTGAGGTTAATGATGGATGCATGCATAGGCCTACTTGCTTGGTAGCTCTTCATATCCTTTGACTTTGTCTTTTTTGCAGCATGCATCCCTTTCTCGTCTCTTCATATATCTGCTTGTTCCTATCCAGTTATTAGGAAGAGTTCAAGTCGTCGAGTGTGTGGACTTTATAGTCAATTGCTAGGCTGTGCCACAGTGTGAAGTTTGATTAGTAACATAGGTAGGTAGTATTATGTTAGTTGCACCGCTTGTGAAGTTTATTCTATTAAACTAATTATTCTATTATTCACACGACGTGAATGTCGTCCATAAATTTTTAACTTGACGATGTTCTTTCTAATAATAATAATAATAATAATGATAATATTTATTAATGAGATACGTCAGAAGTGTGCCGAGGACTTTGACTCATACGTGAACCTGATAGAATTCGTTAAAAGAGTGCCTATGTACTGTGAAATATAACAATGTGTTTTGTGTGCTGCTGGTGCATTCTAACTTGTGCGTTTTTTCTTCCAAATTTAACGGGCCCGTCAAGAATTTTGTGTGTGGGTGGAAAAAAATGTGCCAGTTTTGCTACTATATAAAAGTTCTTTCTTCCTATGTATATAACGCGAACATATGTACTGTACATAAGTATGG